GTTTTGAAAATTCCTGTCAGTCTATAATACCACAGAGGAGTTTTTAGCTAGAATTATCACTTTTTTACCATAGGATTTACATAATTTTATATTTTCAGCCTGCAAAAGAGACAAGATACCTTTCAACGCCTCTCACTTTTCAAAAGAAACACTGTTAAGAAAACACAAATCAGTGCAGCGATACTTCAACCGATCAACAAAAACAATGACAGCAAAGAATAACATTGTGCATACAAGTTTAATCAATCTCTGAAAATCATCCATATGAATTTTGTAAAACAGAACAAGGAAAAATATATTTGCTCTCCTTTCATTTCAGACAAATTCAAACAAAGAATGAAATGAAAGTTATAACTATCTCCCCCGTTAGGATTGCACAGACTCGTCATGAAGGAGAAAACAGTCGTTTGATACACAAACTCTCTAGCAATACATATCAAAATAGTACAGGGTAACCATACATCAGACTGGGTACACAAGTCTATCAAATACTTGCACTCGTTTTGGATTGTGACGTCATCATTCTAATTCATGGAACAAATTATTTTCATACAGAATAAAAAAATTACAAATCCGCATCAAATCTCTTGAAATATCTATATGACAAGAGGTTTCTACCTATACATTTGGTAAATTAGTACAAATACACAAGACACAAAGTACACAGTCACATTCAATACAATAGAAGAAAATCTATCACGACTGTGTAACAATAAATTTCAAATGTAAAAAATACAAATGCATAACATCCATTGTGAAAAAATTATGAAATAAAGTACACTATTTCAATAGATAATAGATATGAATCTTCTTCATCATCTTATACACAAACTGTACAAAAATCAAAATAAAATTGAACTCTCTTTATTTGATAGAAATATCTTTATCAAATTTTAACACTCATGATTTTGTTAATATTTGCATGAACAACAAAATTTATTCTGACACATAACACGTAGTACAATTGCAGTCATGAAACACTGATGTTTTGGCATTGAATAACAAAGCAGAAAAGACAAAATTCCACTGAAGAAAAAAAAAATTGTTCTGCTACCATTTCACTCTTCTAAGAAACAGAATATCTTAAATAGGAATCGATCATATTTATTGTGTTATTATCGACACTTAAGTGAATTGTATGGCACACTTTCAATCCAACTTTTATAATTTTTGTTCAGGGTAAAGTGATCAAATATATTATTCAACTTCATATACATTGCAACATTAGTGAAAAAGCTCAACTTACATTAAGGGAGTCTCCTCCTACTTTTGCTTAATTTTATTATGAAAATGAAAATCGTTCAACTTTCTGATAATTGGCATATTTTCTGTTTGTTCTGCTGAGAGGCAGAAATAATGTGCACTCTTTTTTACAAGGAGACAAAACAATAGTTTGTCTTATAATGGTTATTCAAAATCATAAACTAACATAGTGTCTTTCAAACAATAACTATGCTCTTTCCCTTTTATAAATATGCATATTGAACTTGTATGTTCTTCTTGCAGAAAAAAAAGTTAATGTTATTTGATTAGAAACAGTGGCATGTAAGTCTTTTCAGGTGAACAGACATCAATCAAATTATTTCACGTTGTATTTCTGGTCTGAAAGTAATACAAATATGAAAAATTAAACTTTGAACAAAAAAAAACAAAAAAATGGGAAAAAGTCATCAGTCATTAATTCAAATGATCTATGAGGGGCAAGTAATTCCAAAAGCTCATGTTTTATTTAGTTAAATTAAAAGAATATCAGCAGTATTTGAGCAATTAACATACTTTGCCATGAAAACCTTTTCAAAACTGTTCAATGTTGAAAACATACATGTATATACGATTTGGATTGGCAGTTTGGCACTATCTAACAGTTTAAAGTACTTTGTGCAGCATACTACATTGACCCCACAGAATAAATTAATGTACTTTTTAAAAATCCAAGTCTTCATGTTCCACTTCAAAACAGATTCCATCGGTCCAGGACTAGTAACAGTTTGTCAGAAGAATTTATTAAAAAGACATTCCATATTCCAAATACATCATTTTAGAAAATGCCAAGCCTAAGACACCACAGACTCATTGGAAATATGTTTTGATTGCAAATTAAAGAGGAGCAAATCATATTTCATATCAGGCTTCAACATTTCGAGTCTATGTTACTCATTCTATTCACTCTCTCTTTATATACATGTATGTAGTACATATATATTGAACTCTCAATTATTTTTTATTTCAACTGTTTCAATTATTAGATGTGTGTGTATGTGTGTGTGTGTGTGTGTGTGTGTATGTTTATATATATTGCTATCACACTTCTCTGTCTTTGATCCATTCCATTAAAATATCAGAGCACTTTTTTTTGCTTTCATAGCTAGATAGTCTTTACAGCCCTATTTTTAGAGTATTCACTTTAATTCTGGCCACTTTTGGTTTCCCATCACTAAAAGTGAAACATAGTCTCTGTATACAGTAGGCTTAAGGTTGTACCATGTGTGGGAGAGAGAGGGAGGATTGGGGAGTCTCTGTAGTTTGCTAAGTAGAGTGATTACATATCTATACATCCTATATCATCCTTTTTATTAATAAACAATACTACATAGAGACCAATAGAACAAATCAGAACATCCTTAACCAATGCCAATGTTAACAACAAAATGAGACAAATTTATATTTAAAAAATACATGAAGAATGAAAGAACTTGAAGTGATACGGATGGCAAAAACTGATTGAAACAAAGCCAATTTACTACATGGATGGTAAAAACTGATTGAAACAAAGCCAATTTACTACATGACGGGACCAGTGACAAAACACTAAAAACATCTTGCGCTGATATACCTGCCAGAGGTATTTAGCTGAATTGAGCAAAGAAGTTATCATTTATACCTCCAATATCATATTCAAAATATTTGACAGTTATCCTGAATTTTCTTAGTGTTCTTGCTGCTTGAAGAACAGTTTGCATCATTTAGTTTCAATATTTCATTTACAGTTCATGAAGTATTTTGCACATAGGGAGGTTTATATAGCCCATTCATTATTAAAATTGCATAAAGGGAATTGATAATTTCATACTTTATCAAATGAAGAAAATAATATATAAATCCTGCATACACAATACCTTTATCATCTAAACTGTAAAAACAAGAAAAGGAAGATTGTTTCCACTTTCCTAATGTTCATTGCCCCATACACCATTTCATTTTGATTTCATGATTAAGAAATGATGAAATGTGTTTGCACAATATGAGTTGATAAGAACACGACAAAGACTAATTTTAACGCAACTTGCGCGAGAGAAATACAACTAAAAACAAGTGTGCAATAGAGAATCTGCACTTCCTTCCCTTAATCAGTCTGGATCGTGAGCAGTGTGTTGTTTTCTTCCTAAATGGAGCATTTTAGAGCAACTCGGGGCCCCATGAGCTTTCAACACAGGCGGATACCAGAGCTATATCCGAAGCCATCATCATCCTCAAATAACACATTAGACATGTGGCACTAAAACATAAATCTAAACCTAGCACTTAATTGAACTTGATAAAGCAGTATTTACTAGGGATTGAAACTTATTGGTGTTAACAGTTCAACTTAAATTCTCAATGGCAAAAAATATATAATACAAAACAATTGTAAAGGAATACAAAGTGAAATTTATATTACTTAAATGCAACTATGACTGACTTAACACCAATTTGAATGTGTTGACAGTGCTTTTTTCTGAGGTGTTTATGTGTAAATCTACTAACTTAATTACTTTTCCTTTACAGACGTCTAAAAATCTATCCCTTATATATATATATATCTCTCTCTCTCTCTTGTTTAAATATTCATGTCTCTCTAAACTTTTACTAAATGTATATGTCCCTGTAAATGAAAAAAGATATATTTCCTTGTATGATAAATATTTTTATGAAAGACTTTATCAGCTATGCTTTATCATGATGGATTCCCTAGCATGATGATGTAATATTATGAGAAAATTTGATGAGTGAATAAATAACACTCTTATATCAAGTATGAATCAGAGTTGATTGTAAATGGTGATAACCATGATTTGTGTACAGATTTGTGTACACTAAGCTTGAATTGAATCAATGAGTTGACCATAGAGCCAAAAAAAAACACAATATATTGGCAAAACTAACACATGGGAAATCTATCAGTATTTTTGGCATTTTGTTTTGGGGAATGATTTAAAACGAATGAAAGATTGCAATACGCGATGACAGAGTACTAATTATCTTATATTGACAAACACAAAAATATATGGTCTAATTTAATTCCAACTCACTTTTAACATGTAAAAGAATGTCTCAACTTGAAAGTATGGTAATTTAATTTTGTATTATCGTTAAACAAATCAGTTTGGGCTCAAAATGGACTCAGGAAAATATGTATTTTTGAAGAAAAAAATTGAAATTAATCAGAAAGAAAAACAAAATTATGAATTATCTTTTCAATTAAATGGACTTGGTAACATTGTTCAGATGAGAGAAAATGGTGCTAAGGTAGTGACTTCAATGCTAGATGTACAATTAAAGATAATCTTGAAGGTTTGAGCAAAAACGGACCATTTTTAATGATAACATTTTAGAAAAAAGTGATCTGATCGATTCTTTAATTCTCCCAACTATATTATTACAATTTAATCCCATTTTAGGGAGATGTAAATCGTCACAAAGCATTGAATTGGATCTATATACAATTCCAGACATGTAAGTGTTGACGGATTTGTAAAAGCCTATTGTATATCTTGTTTTCGTAGAAAATGCATGGGAAAATTCAAAAATGGTTTGGAGAATTTACTGTCAGAGGGTGCCTCATAGAGACGCCTTCAAAGAAAACCATAAATATCAGTATCTTTGTAGTTTGAGAATTCTTTCAGGATTTGTTTGCATGTAAGAGGGTTAGTACAGTAGAAGGAATATAATAAGTAGTATTTCATACAAAATGTACAGTTTTTCATCTCCCTTCAACAATGTTACCGAGTCACTTTAAGAAGAGTATATTTCATATACTAAATAAATACTACGTTTAGGGGAAGATTCATTTGATTTCACTGATCGCCATTAACCTGCTAATTCGTTAAGATATAGCAAAAAGAAAAATTTGGCACTTTGAGCAATAATTTTATTGAAATTTCGATTGTAATTTCAATATTTGCCAATGACCTTTTTTCCCCACACATAATTTCATGTTTCTTTGACAAAAATTCAACAACAAAAAACCTAAAAAGATAGAGCAGATCAGACAATCAAAATTATAATGGGGATTTTGGGGGACTGAAAGTTTGTTCAAATAAATTATCGGTAAAACTCTGTAATTGAGTAACTAGTATTTTGGTACACACTACTGAATGAAGCAGTATTCATTCATACAGGCATTGAGACTTGTATTAAATGGTTCGTAAGTATCTGACATAAAAACATGCAACAGAAACAAAAAGATATGGCACAGTTTTGGACACCGCAACTCTACCATAGACAGTCACATCTGTATGCACTTCAACCGACTAGCAATTCAAGCTATATCATTTCACGTCAGACAACAATTCAATCACAAGTAAAAAAAAAAAAAAAAATTACTGACACAGAAATATCACATCAACTTACAATTATCATAATAAAAAGTTATTTAAGTACAATATTTTGTTCTGTACTCGACGTCAGGAGGGAAGACATGTTTTCTTCCCAGAAGCCACCTGGTTCATGACCTCTGATCCAAGCGGCTCATCAGTGGGGCGTCTATTGCGAGGCAAACTGGATGGGTGGGGCATGGGACTAACTACTATAAAATGAATAATCTAAATTTCAACATATCCATCAATTATTGGTTATCCTACAATTCAAGTCACTTTTAAGGGATTTTGGTCATTTGATCAATCGCTCGAAGGGGGGGGGGGGGGGGGGGGGGTAATCATCATTTTGTTGAATCTAAATTACTTTCTTGAGTCTCTTCAGAATTTTAAAATTTGATCTCTTGTGGGTTTCATAAATATGTTGAATTTTATTTTGATGGATAATCATTCATATATCCTTTCTTTAATTAAATGTAGGCTCCCAACAAAATGTCACAGTACCTAAAACAAAGGTATCTTCTGATTACCCCAGCTAATAAAATAACAAAATCCTTCCCTATTTCAATTTTTTTGTAGTTTGTTTCCAAAAAAAAATTTCAACACACTTCTTGAAGAATCAATATAAATCTATTGCAAATATCAAGTTATTTTCAAAATCCCTTTAGCAATTAATTTCACTATTATAGAAACTTCATAAGTATAAAAATAAGGATCAATCAATATTTTTGCAAGGGCTTTTATAGGAATCTATCCTTCTTGGTCATCAAATTCTGAGTCTCCACAAAAAAAAGGAGAAAATTAATTTTTCTTGATGGTACCTACAGCCCTCATACCTTCCCGGGCGGCCGTCCAGAGCCAGAAGAGACCCGTGCCCAGCACTCCCCCCAGCTTGCCTCGCCCCACCAGTCATTGGATAACGCAGAACTTGCGGTAATCGGCTTCGATCTCGTCCTCTATCGTCGTCATGTCCGGGTGCTTCCCCGACGTGTCGGGTATGTACTGTACGTAAGACATGGACCGGCATTCGTAGAAGAGCATGTATGCGTTGTCCATGTCAATCTCCTCTTTCACCTCCTAAAGGAATATGAAATAACACAGACACGATTTTGTTATTAAATCTGAATATATAATTCTAATTTAGAGTGGATCCATCAGTTTCCATAAAAGACATTTTCCATAGTTAGGAGTGAATATAAAGCATTTCTTTTGTGAAAATTTTCTCAGAATTATACATTTTTCTACCTATAATTACTTGATGACAGTTAACCAAATCGTGCATATCCATGGTACATTTTTTTTTCATAGCCCCAGAATGAAAGGTGAACTGGTCGATTCAGGGCCTTTGTAATATGACACATCCTCAAGAAACATAAATCGGGACATTCATTTTTCACATTATAAAAGTTGGAAGAGGTATAAATAATTTAATAATTAAATGTATATTGCAACACATTTTCTCTCTCTCTCTCTCTCTCTCTCTCTCTCCTTCTCTCTTTTTTTCTCTCTCTCTCTCTACATATACATGTCTGTCAATCTATTCTTATGCTCATACATACACTTACTCTCTCTCTTTTCTATCCTTTTCTCCACCCTCTCTCTCGCTCTCTTCTCTCTCACCCCCCTCCCTCTCTCCCCTCCTTCTTCCACCCAATCTCTCTCTATCTCTCTCCTTATACCCCGCTCTCTCTCCCTCTCTCCCCTCCTTCTCCCCCCCCCCCCCCTCTCTCTCTCTCTCTCTCTCTCTCTCTTTCAATCCATCTTGCCTGGAGTGTGCATTATATGTACATACCTTCACACTGCTATCATTGTAGCAGTACCACTTCTTGTTTGGATTAACAGAGTAAGAAACATAATGACCTCCACCAAGGATACCAGTATGACTCTGAAATTAAATCAAATAAAACACATAATTATATTAATGAAACACAAAATATTGATTAAATCTCAGGGAATAATTTTCCTCAAATTTTTTGATTAGCAATTTTAGCCGATGGATAAATATTTCAAATGAAATTCTGTACATTTCTATGGAAGAAAACTGCTACACAAAAGATATTTTGTATAGCAGTCATGCAAAAATGCATAGCAAATTGCGATGCGATACCAGGAAAATTATTCCCTGAATCTGTAATACAGATATAGCAACAGTTTTCTAAAAATATAAAGTTTTCCATTTAGTAATTGTTTTGACATTTGCTATCATAATCCGAAGTGCTGATAATGAACACAAAGAATTTTTTCTTCTTCCATTTCCATTATTTGATATAAGTCTAGAATAAAGCTGATATATAGGAGATATACACATTTTTGCACTAAAATGCTTAAAATTGCAATATGATGATTTGCTATTCTTTCATAAGCATTACACACATGTTTCCAATGGGTCTGTGGTTGATGTCCAACAGTATTGATGGTACAGTGTATCTCACAAATAAGAATTTGAATAAGAGCAGCCCATGACATTATTAATCAAGTTTATTAGTAACACAGCATCCATTGGAGAGTTTGCTGAACATTTGAATATTTAAAAAAAGATGACAAATCAAATGAAATAAAACAACTGAGGAGAACTATTGAGAGATTACTCACCACAACTCCATAGAGATCGTACATCTGCCCATCATCCACGTCTTCCTCTGGTTTGGTTTGAGGATGAAGAAGAGGATGAGATCCAGTAGCATCAACGGGCGGAGTCAATAATGAAGCCTGCTTCTTTAACTTGGGTTTGCTCGGTGAGTTAGACCCTGATTGGCTGTGTGAACCATCACCCTGCCCGCTCTCCAGCGTTCCGTAACCACTATCCTGATCCTTGGCCCCGCCCTCCTCCCCGTCCCCACCCTCCTCCTCTCCCTCTCCGTGTCCATTCACAATGTCTGACTTGCAGTCACCATTCATCAGAGGCAGAGCCCCGCCCGACGTATCCAGACGAAGCGCAGCCGGTCTCTCTCGTCTGTCTTTGCTCTTCTCCACAGCTCCGTCCTCCGATGGGGCGGGGTCTTCCGATTGGGCGGGGTCTTCCATGTCTGAATGATCCGTGTCTCCATTGACGACCACGCTGCTCCCCCTCCCACTGTCCACTCGCCCCTGCCCTGCCCCCTCACTACTCATCTCGATGGCATTGATGTTGATACCAGCCTGGGGACCTAGTACGCTTGAATCTTTGAGATCTTCCGTCTCTGCAGGTGCATCGTTCGTTACGTCTATTATCCTGGGCTCAGTGTCCCCCTTCGGAACCACAAAGTTACTCACATTGAAGTTTCTTTTCGGAAATTTGACAATCTTTTGGGATTTCACCCATCTCCCATTCACAGACTGGAATCTCTTCAAGTGTACAATCTGAAACAAAATTTAATTGAAAATCAAATAACATACTACATGTACGTAACATTTGCCTAGTCTAACGTTTTCTCAATAGCAAAATAATATATATCAGCCATGCAATTAATTTCTCCACATCTCAATGTGCAAAACAGAAAGAGAGGACAAAAATTGATTCATTTAATGAGAGTTTTTACTGTTTCTTCACTCTCTGCTATGTTGGACATTAAAAATAAAAATTCCAATCATTATGGTATTTATCCCCCTCTGTCTCACTCTCTCTTTCTTCTTTATCTACGTCTTAGTTCTGTCTATCTCTATCATCATTTAACTTGAATGATGAGTCGAAATGTAGGTTTGTAATGTAGGTCTTCCTCATTCCAGTCTAATACAAGCCAATACATGAACTTCAAGGTATGTTTCAATCATCGATAAAGTATTACATCTTAAGTTCTTCTGTATTCTCCTTTACTCAATCCCCCTTTCTCTCTCTCTACCTTTTTTTCCTTTAACCCATTTTTCCTCTAAAAACCCTCTTCCTTTCCCCTCATTTACATATATCCCCCAAATTCAGTCTCTGAATATCCTGCCCCTCCAACAAATCCTTTCCTTTCTCTCTCTCTCTCTCTCTCTCTCTCTCTCTCTCTCTCTCTCTCCTTAAAAAAAAATTGCTGTGTCTCTTACCAAGATAGGTGGTAGCCTCCATATATCCAGTTTCTTGGCTGCTAGCCGATGCTGCTTACACTTTGAGCAGTAGTACAGTTCGTCCTCCCCCAGCTCCTCTTCCTTGGTGAACGCTCGTAAACAATCATCCAGGTTGATGGGCTCCGTCTGTAGCCGTCGGCTGTTCTCGCAGCTCTCATGCTCAGTCACAAACTGCAGAGACGATGTAACATTGCCAGTGAAATTGAATAATTGTACTATACATAGAATCCCATTAATTTTGTATTCCTTTTCACCTATGCCAAGCATTGGTTTTTTGTTATTGTTACTAAAATGAATATAAGCGTTATATCACCATTACTTTTGCCAACCAAGGAATCTTCAAGTGTGTATCGACAGGTACGGGTACTCCCTATGCATGTATTTTCATTCTTCTAGGAAAGTTCACTTTCTCTTTCTAGTATGTGTTCCCCGACTGTCCGTCTTTCTTTCTCTGTCTATCTCTGTCTTTCTGTCTCTCTGTCTATCCGTATTTCTTTCTATGTTTGTCTGTGTCTATTTCTGTCTGTCTGTCTTTCTGATCTGTCTTTCTTTCTGTCTGTCTGTCTTTGTCTGTATGTCTGTCTCTGTCTTCTTTCTACCTGTCTGTCTCTCTCTCTCTCCCCCCTTTTTTCTACCTCATTCACTTAAACATTCCTGATACGGTACATCTGCGAAAATTACTCAAACCCAAACCCTTGTATGAGGTTCTCATGTTGAATTGACATTTATTTCCATTATCTTGACAATATACTTAAAGTTAACAATATCAAAATTACATATGAATTGACATAATAACATTCAAACTATAAAGAAAATATGAAAACATAAACTATTGTACAAATGGAATATGGTGCATCCATAAAAGCCAATAAGGCTCAACAATTGAATGCACCAAGCGTAAAATAACATAGGTTTTGAAAAACAACAAAGGGGTGGGGGTGGGGGTTGCATTTTGGTATGAGCGATGGGGTCTTTAATAAATCAATTTATAACTCACCCTTTCTTGTGAGTTCTGGTACCTGAGATGTAGAGCCGTAGGGTCCCATTCAATGGCTATGTAGGCTAAGCCCGTCTTCAGAGCTTCACTTTCACAAGGTATATCACATCCTCTGCAGAATCTGTGAGATTCATTCAATAGTTATCAAGACAAAACATGGGGGGAGAGAAAGAAGAGTATGAGAAGAGGGGCCGAATCAGCAGCACTACAATTTCACAACACAAAGAGAAAATCAAATCAATGCACTATTCCAACAACAACAAAAATTAAATAATAACTAATTAGGAAAAATATCAACACCTTGGGGATAACCTTTCCATTTTTTGTAGAATAGATTATTTTAATCAAATTTAGAAGTGGAAAAACAAGACAATACAATTTAAAGCCCAACTGCACTACTTATAGCTACTTGCACCCTCTATATAGCAAACAATGCCTAAGCTGTGATCATTGGTCCCCCATGATCCCCTTTTTCTTATGTTAATTGAGAGCTGATTTGATGAGATAACCACCTGTTAGTGACCATGCTGGGAGGTCTAATCCCTCCTGGCCAAACTAGTGCAGAGGGGCTTTAAGAACTCTACATTGTCCTGTTAGAATGCTGTTCAGCAGTCAGGTAAAAACAAAGCATCAACCATCCAATAGCATATAAAATGATCCAAAATCTGTGATTCAAAATAACAGGATTTTCTAAACTCTTAGTTTTCTTTTACAGCATAGAAATCCTTTTAAAATGTCTAAATTTATGTGTCTTTCAATTGAAATTCATTACAAAATGACGATATTTTCAGGAGATGATGATTAGAAATATTTAAGGCTAATTTGGAGTTACTTATTCTAACATCTCTTAAGACTGTACAATGTCCCTCCTTGAACTACAAAAAAATGATACAAATAACAACTTTCAAGCACTAAAACTAATTTATACAAATCTATGCAACATGCTTTTAAAGCATGCAATCAATAAGTCTGCTCATAAATAAAACTGATTATCATTGATTTAAAAAAAAAAGTGCAAATTCATCTTATCCACACAGCATTGGACATGTTACTCTAGAAAAGGAAACATGCACCATATTTCAAGCAATTGCTCTAGGGCTAAATACATGTATGTATTGGTATTGAAATAATAATAAGGGGGAAAAAAGGGAATTCAAATGGGATATTTATCTTAAAGTGTACCAATCTCCCAAACATGTTTTGCTCTTGATGTAATTGGTTCTATTGTATTCAAAATATGAGCTTCAAATATTACTTCTACAAAAAGATATTGCAATTTACATACATTCTCAGTAAACAGTAAAAATGTCTTGTTGAATAGACCATTTAACCTGTGCACGTACTTGCAGAGAATGATTACGGTACAACTTTTAAAAAACCATAACAATTTTGGTCCTATTTCGTTCAAACTTTCACGAGTCTGCTTCTCTGATATTTCTGCTTTCTTTTAGAGTTGTTTGCTATTAAAGTTGGGTTTCCCTTTGATTATTTACCTATTTCAAATGCCAGGTAAATTTGTAAGGTTGATATTATATATGTACATGCTAGCTTTACACATATTTTTTTTTCTTCAGGTGATTGGTACACTAAGTGTGTATGCTATCTTTTAGCCCTGACAAATGTGCAAACATGGAGATGTGCTTTAATAATTTTTTTTTATTTATTCATGACCGCCACTCAGATTGCTTGAATGAACAGGGAGCGAGTGTAACTTAAAAGGGGTCAATTTTTAATATCTTTAATCATATCTACTCTAGGGGTTATGAAATAAATATAATGACAATTATTCTCTACCAAGCCATTACAAGAGTGTGCGTTGAAACAAATGGGAAAGAATTCCAGCACTTTGTCGCAGTGACATTATTGATTCAGCCAACATGAATTGCCCCTACGTATAGTGATTACAACTTTCAAAAATTCTCGAAGGTATGTCCACTCCACTAAAAATGTTCACCAGTCTGATTCGTCTCTTTCTTTTAGAGTAGTTGTCTGTTGAGGTTGGATTTCCCTTTCATGCAATGTCCACAATTCACATAAAGGAAGACTTTAAATTTTATTTTGTAGAGCTTTACTTATGATCAAAATTCTTCAATAGTAAACATACACAGGAGTCACTTCATACAGCACACACATTAAAGGGGAAGTCCACCCTGAAATTAAGTTAGTTTTAATAGGAGTAGAAAAATGAGAGAAACAAGTCAGTGAAAGTTTGAGCAAATTCCGATTAAAAATAAGGAAGTTAGGATTTTTGAAGTTGTGATCAATCAAACACAAATTGGCAACTCTATGACGTATCATGTGAGCTCAACTTCCATTTGCTCAGTACTAAAAAAATCTAAAATTTTCATTTTCCCTCAAGAAAAATTTAAACCATACATGCACCCTAAATATAATAATTGCAAATATGTTTCTATACTCCCCCTGCAAGGAACAAATATATATTCCGTCATCAATAACGAAGAAAACATGATTTTATGGAATATTATGCACAAAGCAAATGAAGGAGAGCTCGTATAATAAGTCACAGAGTTGCCAATTTGTATTTGATTGATCACAACTTCAATAATTCATAACTTTCTTATTTTCATTCAGAATTTGCTCAAACTTTCACTCACCTGATTTTCTTATTATTCTGCCTCTATCGAAACAAACTTATTTTGGGGGTGGACTTTCCCTTTAATAAGGGCCATTTTAAACAGACTTAACTGGCCATTAGGGTTTCAATAACATTCATGCATACTGTGTGTGACAAACAAGCATATGGTTTGATACTCTCTTTGAGTTACATGTATGTGATGTGCAAATGGTCAACACTAAATGTATATCAAATCAATGCTTTCATGTTTTGTGGTTGATATGTAAATAATTTAACGCAGCCAACGGTATAACAAAAATGGCTTTAAAAACAGTGTCATCACTTGTTCTAATTTTGATTGAGTATCAATTACAACTATGAAAACTCTGTAATATATGATATATTATGGCTATACAATATACATGTCAGTACATGCAGGTTTTGAGCTATTATTTGACATGCATATACAGTGTGAGTCAAAAAAAAGTTTACACCTAGAAAATTGCTAATTATTTTTAGTATCATCTATGAACAGTAAATTATTATATATCTTATGAAAGAGTGTTTCATCCCAAATCATTTAGTACCATTTTGTGTGGTATGTGTTCACACTTGGATGAACAGGAGGCATTGTTTGCGAGAGGACAAAAATTGAGTTGCGCCAAAGTGGCTTACATAATGTTTGAATAAAACAATTGGGATTTGGGTATTAATTCGGTCTTTGCAGATCCAAATAACATCCCTAACAAAATTGATCATGCCACACATATCAAATATCAAATATCAAATATCAAGGAACATTTGTACGCATGTGTGTGGGTGCGTGTTACTTTGCCCTTTGTAAAATGCATTTCACTTGATACATTCACTCATTCTCTCACTCCGCTAATCCCAGCATAATACATACTGTAGGCATCACTTTGGCGCAAGTCAATTTTTGCACTCTCGCAAACAATGCCTCCTGTTCATCCAAGCGTGAACACATACCACACAAAAATGGTACAAAATGATTTGGGATAAAACACTCTTTCATAAGATGTATAATAATTCACTGTTCATAGATGATTCTAAAAATAATTGGCAATTTTCTAGGTGTAAACTTCTTTTTGACTCACACGGTAGAGTAACAAATATAAAAGAGTTTGATTAATGTGAAAAAAAGATAATACAAATTCAAAGAGACTGTAAATAAACTTTTCATTCAAAAAGAAATTAAGGTATTTTGCATGCAGTTATTTAATAGATATAACGTGAAGAAAAGAAAAACTGTTGGATGTTAGTTGAACTTTGAAAAGAGAATACAGAAAAAGAATGGTTAAACATGAATATGATAGACGAGACACACACAAACAATAGAATTGATTAGATTCTGAGAATAAAATTATTGGTGAAATAAGAAAAGACAGGGATAATTATGAAGGTTGAAACAGATAAATGAGCAATAACGTTTTCTCCCCAAATGATATTGTTCTTTTGTTGTTAATAAAACCAATCATACTCGGGCCAATGATTGCATCTTTCTTCCACTACCTCGTTACCCCGAATAGCATCCGCTGCAAATTTGGCTTAAATGACAATAAGGAGAGTGCCTCCCAAAAGAGGGATATGACTATTTTCCAGATGTGGTCCTTGACCTCATTAATGGTGGTACAACTTTGACCTTTGACCTCATGACCCACACAAACTAAAACCTTATGACCCATACAGCTATCCTGACAGACCATACAAAACTGATGTAGCACTTCCATTAATGCAATTTCCGTTATCCTGTATGTACGGATCTGACATTATTTTTACGCAATTCCATATGTGACCCTTAACCTTTGACCCAAATATCTCCAAAATATTTAAACCAAATAACCCCCTTAATATTTTACCAAAATGAGATATCTCCATCCACATGCAAGTACATTCATAAAAATTCAATAATCCACAAGTGATCCTTGAAATAACTTGATAATAATAACCCAGAAACGTAAAACAGCACCACCTTCAGTTGAAGAAACATATAAAGAATGGGAGAAGACATTCAGAAAATATATCAAGAACATGAATGAGAAAAAAGATAGAGTGATTGCTTGACATGTTAGATAATTGATTGAATACAATGATTGTATGATATAAAGTAGCCAAACCTGTCTCCGCTTAGGATGATACATACCTATACCACGGGCACCAGGCGCATGTCAAGCCGTCCTTCAGCACTGCCTTCAGTGTAAACGGGTACTTCTGACGAGGGCTGTCGCTAGCAAACACAAATGACATATTTTATATTGCACTTGGGGAGTTATCACAGGCATCCTCGTTCTCTCACTATCTCTAATACTAGTACTAAGTCAAGGGATATTTTTCTTTAAAGATAAAGACCAGTTATGGTCATGCAATTGCATTGTGAAAGAAACGTTGTGGAATCGATCTGAAAAGGTTGATCATCTAGCATATAAGTATTGGTGTGTACTGCAAGGTTCTGGAATCATCAAAATGATAAGAAATTTGGCCCAGTCTTCGTAAAGTTACAAGCACTGTACACAGAAAGATGTATATGGGACTATACGCACACATGCGCGACACGTGCGTTTATCTCTCACACACCAATAGATTAACTAATTTACCAAATATATCAATTAGTAGGCAGTTTCCCGGCAAAATTGTTATCATCATGTATTAGTCAAAAAATATTCTTTCACATGATTGGTAATAAGAGCTTTCATTTCATTTTTTGAAATTGGGGCGTTTCCAATACTGGTCTTTACCTTTAAGGCGGGGGAGGTTGTTTCTTTGGTGTAAACAAACTAAATCGTAAAATAGTGACAATTTCTTTGTTTATATTTACTAAACCTGGTACAAATGGGTACTTCTAACGAGGGCTGTCGCTAGCAAACACAGGAGTTTTCACGGGTGCCCTCTGTCTCTCACCATCCTTAATACTTCTTTTTCATACTATCCCCAATACTATGCCAACTTGGATGTTATATTTCTCTTGATGTGAAGGAACAACAATTAACTGAAGAAAGTGACGATTTGTTTGCTCTTGAAATCTAAATCTGGTCACATGTATTATTTTAGGGTATTGTAACCATCTTTAATACTGTCAATTACATGTACATGTATTTTTCCAAAGTATTTCCTTTATTTTTCCTCTCTGATGCATGAAATCTTCGAAATGGATATGAGAAACACTATCTCTACACTGATTTGTTTCACTTCCTTATGCGAGAGACCACAAATAAAACCGAGACAATTGATGAGGTATTTTGGACGAATAGCCTGAAACCATTTCCCTATGCAATCTTTAGACAGATGCTGTTTTCTAAGAATACTTGCATCGTTGTTCTTCTGTGAGAAACTATTGTATGGGATGTACGGATTATAGGCCAACATTCATGTATACGGTTTAACATGCTTCTGACTTCAGGCTGGTAAAGTGATAGTCACTTTATGCTTTCAATCTCCAAGCAGATCTTACATACCGGTAAATTTTACCCATCCATGCAGTTATTTCATTACAATCTATTGCCAGATACATGTAAGCACAAAAAACAGTAACTTTTCAAATAAGTGACATTTGGGTTTGTTCATTGGGATATTGTTGATTTTCGTCAATTAACACAAGTTAATAAAAGCAAGAAAGATTCTCTATCATTTAATTTTGGATATTAAAATAAACAGATATTTTATTTATATTACCATTACAAAATGAACATCTTATGGGTATATTGCCTTTTGTTTTGGGACATTTGAAAATCATCATTGTAAGGAACAGTAATAAGAAAGAAAGAAATATGTTACATTGGTACTTGAAGTCCAGTTTTTTTTTTCAATAGTTCCTGGTCAACTGAGGTGACACATGGTGAATTGAGGATCATAGCTACTCTTATAGAGTAGAGTAAATACATCACATAAACTATTCAAACACAAGAGGGGGCAGGGAGCTCAGATCGTGAGGAACTCTTATCACTCACCAGTCTTCAGCATGGTTCTTGTTATGACCGGTGTTATGGTCAGTTGGTTTGGTAGGACTGACCAGCCTTGAGATCTGAGTCCAGACCACCTTGTACAGGTCTTCTCTGGTCGTGGAGGGCTGGCAGGGCAGGATGAGAGGCAGACCAAACAAACATGGACGACTCTTCTGCCACGCTAGGAAGTACATGTCCATCCGAATCTATGTGGGAAATGGGAGAGGAGCAAAAACCACAATGGTTAATCACAGCACTGGCACTATTAGTCAAGGTTTCCGGATGCCAAATTCAGGTTGAAAAATGAAAACATAGAAAATTGCAATAAAGAGCAACGGTTAAAGTCAAACACAAGTACTAAACAATAATAAGTGGTCTTGATTGGCTGATGTAAGTTGCGTTTTATATTACAGAGTTGTGGTTACATACAACCTTTTTAAGCAGGAGGGCCTAGGTCTGTTATATTCATGAATGCACTAGAGAATGGTCTTAATGGAAAAGAATGCCACGTCCTTAAAGTATAAAAACTAAACATTAATTAATTTAATACATTCATTTGGATTATAAAGGAGTATCAGAGCATTTGAAGCTATTATAATAATATACCGTTCTTGTATAGCACATAATGTCTCTATGCGCTTCCAAAAGAGTTTGGATATTATTACCCCGTATTTAGCTCTGTCTCCCAAGTCCCTGGTGTATTCAAGGAATAAATCCTACCAGGTACCCACTTAATACACCTGGGTTGAGTGTGGCAAATGTAGATAAATGTCTTGCCGAAGGACATTAGTGGTGCGGCAGGGATTTGAACCCCGTACCTTGTGGTCCACAGTCTGAAGACTTATCCACTAGACCACAACACCTCAACATTAAATAATACAAGACAGTAAAGTCATATGTACAACACTCCTAGTCATTAGGGACTTTTAGATTTGCAAGTCAACATAGTGGACTGCTACTTGTGACATCACAGTGTCTTAAAAGGACGTCACACGTAGCAGTCCACTATGTCGGCGTGCAAATCTAAAAGTCCCTAATAATTGGGTCACAGTGTTTGAACAGATCACATGTTAATGTACACACAGGGGCACGGTGACCCTCGTACCATTTTCCGATGCATGGCTACCACGAAGCCATCAAACTCTGCCCCTGGCATGACGGGGGAGATGGTGACCGCACTGGTACCACTGGCAGTGCTTGGCGTCCGGCTGTGCTGGGCTTGAAGGACACGGGACTGACTAGGAGTGGACGGTGAGTGACCAGAACTGACCATAGACTCAGGGGGACTGCTTGTTGGTGTGTCATTATCTGTGCATATCAAAATTGAAAAAATTGGGATTCATTGAATTATGGCTTCAAAGTTAAAGATAAAGGTGTGGAAAGGATCAGAAACAGTTGATCATGTAGCATGTAAGTATTGGTGTGCACTGCAAGGTTCTGGAATCATCAAAACCATAATAAATTTGACAGAGTCTTGGTAAAGTAACAAGCACTGTACACAGAAAGCTATATATGGGACAACACACATGGTGTCGGGCTAGTACTACCTTGATTTCATTGTCTTTCTATGCTCATTACTCAGCCAGTATACATTTTCTTCCAAAATTGTTTGGCACATGTCATTGACTTGTAATCTTGAACATTCAGTGTAAGTTTTGTTTGATTCTGTGAGAATTAATTTTCTTTTTTTTACCAGAACTGGAGTTTATCTTTAACAGAAATTTTCTTGTAAAAAAAACATGTGTGATGCCAATGAGAAGAAGGTACAGACAAAGACAGTGAAACAAAAGGAGAACTTCACTACTACAATAAGATAGAGAGAGAGAGAGTTGGATGAAATTTCAGTGATACAATGACACATAACAGCAAAATGACTGATGAACATAATATTATAACAAGGAACGTTACTGATTTGTCAACAGAGGATGAATGGACTAAAGCACACAGTCACATATTAAACCCGAGTTAAAAAGAAAAGATGGACAAAAGGAAGATGAGAGGATGAAAAAGAGCCATAACAATTGTTGAGATTCCTGACAACCCATTACAACAAACTTTTATGGAACTTTATGTTTAATACATCAAATGTTTCTTCTCGCTCATAGGCATCTCCAAATTAATTTGTACCATGATAGCACTTGAAAGAATTTTCACAATTAACATAACTGCCAACATTTTTAGCACAGTATGGCTTTGAAAATAAGAAATCGCTCGATCATGCAGCCATTCAACGCACATAATACATGATTACTCTCAAATCGCGGCACATGATAAATCAAGCTTAATTTGGCTTTAGCACCATTAAAAAAAATATTTAAAAAATAATAATTTGAAATTGTGAAAAATCTGAATATTTCGGATTTTCAGGTCCTACAAATCCAAAAAATCTGAATATTCCGAATTATTCGGAAGCGTTGGCAGGTATGAATTAACTGTTAATCTTTACGAAGCAGAACCATACTGGTCGTTATGGTAATGCGATCCTTTCTAAATTCTTACCCATGTCATCTTTGGCAGTGGTTCCATTTTCCAATCTTCTTCTCTTCTCCCCACCCCCCGGTGAATCGGTCGAGGGGATCGGTGACACCCTATCGGCCCTGGGGATGTCCCCATTGGCAGGTAGTCTGTGTACTCCTGTGTTCTCCTTGGTCACCGTATCAATGGGAGGAAGAGGTTGCTGCTGGTTGGACTCGGAATTCATCATGGCAGCTAACAGAGAGAAGAGAGCAAACAGTCATTTTTTAAATTCTACATTAAAAACATCATCAGAAACATTAAAGCAAGTATCAAAATGACTCACACTCCAATCACAATTTCTTTCTACATGATTTTGTCAAAGTTGAATCAATTTCAAGTAAATTTCATGGCTTTTTGAGCGAAAGCTTAAAGGTAATACAAAGTTTTTGTATGGGGTCATGAATTTGGTTCAAGTGAACATATTGGAAGCATATGCGATCCTACAATATTAAGTGATCTTTTTGCGTTTGAAATCGAGTCTAAAGTTATGTGGCAGATTAGCCCTGTGCTAAACAAGTTATCCAATAAAGTCTACTACTACTACTACTACTACAATAATTGTAAATAATAAACTCTTTATGTTGTATAGCTCCCTCTCAAGGTCAAGATATCAATTAAGCTGTAAAACAATGTTTCTTGACTAAAATCGACCGATTAGCTATTTCCGTTCAGAAATTATTTATCGCAACTACATATTCTGAGATTTTCATGGTCGCAGCTACAATTGTACGGCCGAAGGCGCTATATTGAAATTTATAAACATTTACTAGGAGCACCGGTAAATCTTTATATTCAATTTTTCTCGAAAGCAGAAGTGTTTTAGGGGATAAATTTGTGTGTGCTTATAATACATCCAGAGGGGCATCCAAATATATCAAAGTTGTAAAGAATCGCTATCCACCTAATTATCAAAATTTCCCAAAACTTTGTATTACCTTTAAGACGTTTCAATCACATGTGTGAAGTTTAACAGCATATCAGAAAAAATTATTTTAATCAAAGAAATTTTGAGACACAAAGCCTAACCATTAGCTATCAGCTAGAGATCAAATGCATAAATATTGCATTGCCTTATAATAATAATAATAATAGCCTAATAGTACACTCCAAATTTTATTAAATCGAAACGGAAATTCTTTTTGCCCAATTGATCTTGAGCCCGGCAGCCACTGAGCAGCGCCAGATCGACGTTGCTCTATCCCTTATTGTTGAACGCCAAACAAGATAAGGTACTACAACCTTGAGGCAAGCTGGAAATTTATGTGTAATCAAAGTTGAATTATGAAGCTGCTGATCCATATTAGGAACATGAAGGTTTGAATCCTATTCACTTTACCCGTAAAAAGTATCATTTTTTAAAGTCAAGAGTAAAGTTGTGACTTACTTTGGCTAGCATTGGTTTGTGATCCAATGGATCCTTGACTTGCTGATTTGCAGATCCCCGACGACGGGCTTGTCTGAGGTACTTCGTAAGCGTACAGGATGCCCCCTAGCATCGTGCGAATCTTCTGCGCCTCGGACGGAAAACTCTGCAATCAAGAGAAAAATATCACTGTTTGAGGCTCCTTTTCTTCGTCATCGAACATTATAATTTTTTGTATAATTTTTCCAATATTTATAGAATAACATTATTGCATCATTTAATCATAGTTTTAGTCTTTACAACAATTACTTTTTGTATGTATGTGGGCCAAAATGTGGTGTAGTTCCAGACCAAATAATTATACTTATTTTTTTTTAATAATGACACTATGCCTAAAGGAAAATATGAAGGAAGGAGGAAGAAAGAACCAGCTGAGAGAGAAGAGAATAAAACATAGAAAGAGAGGACAGACAGCGAGGAAGAGATAATGGTAGAAGGAAAGATAAGGAAAGGGAGGGAGAGAGAGGGAGAGAGAGAGAGAGAGAGAGAGAGAGAGAGAAAGATAGATCGAGAGAGAGAAAGAGAGAGAGAGAAAGATAGAGATAGATAGAGAGAGAGAAAGGGAGAGAGAGAGAGAGGGAGAGAGAGAGAGGGAGAGAGATAGATAGAGAGAGAGAGAGAGGGAGAGAGAGATAGAGAGAGAGAGAGAGAGGGAGAGAGAGAGAGAGAGGGAGAGAGAGGGAGAGGGAGAGAGAGAGAGAGAGAGAGAGAGTGGGAGAGAGAGAGGGAGGTGGGGTGTCCTACATAGCCAAAGAGAGAACAGAAATTGGACTTTTAATAAAAGCAAGGGGCCGGAGGGAGAAGGAAATGACAATTATAGCATAGAAAGAGAAACACAGAAACACAGAGTGGGGAAGGAAGATGAGGTTCCTCAAACAGAATTTAAAAGGACTTAAGAGCTACTGCTTACCCTGACCATAGCTCCTCCAATCTCGGCCAAGACGAGTTGATCTGACCCCATGTCGCACAGGTCAGCCAGCTGCTTCTTCAAAGACTTGTACTTGTCATCTGTGTTCAGTCGCAAACCATACTTGACAGGTACGCTTCCATCAAGGCGAACAACTTTACAAAGAAACGGGGGAAACTTCAGTTTTCATTCAACATCACAAAGAGCAAATAAAAAGATGCCAAGCACAAGACATTTACTTTAATTACTATAAAACAATATCAGAACCTTTCCTCTCAGCCCCAACACTCATTGCATGTATTTATGTCTTGTTTAATTTTATTAAATTCTATCTTTAATAATAATCTTAAATAACTTGGTGAATGTGGATCGCCTTCCTTGATATCATTCTTAAAAAATTTCAGGTTTTATTAATGAACTTTGAATCTTACTTTGAATCTTCTGTCCCCCCCCCTCCCCCCTCTCCCTTTCCGGTCTGTTTCTCCTTGTATATATTTCTCTTTCTCTCTGTTCATCTCTGTTTCTAGCTCTCTGTCTTGCTTTCTCTCTTTCTATCTACTGCTTTAATATAAAATCAACCTTCAACCATCTACTATCACAAAGGGTTCACAAAGATCTTAAGTTGAACTTATCTATAAAGTTAGACTTAACAGTTATGGAAAGCCGGTAGCATCTATGAAAATATTTTGTACAAGTTATAAATGCATAAAATGTTGATACAAATCATTCATATTTTCTAGTATCGAGGAGATTTCATGTTCTTAATGTGGAATTTATAAAAAGTCTTAAATACTTGAATTTTCGCTTTCAAATATATTTTATTTTGAGGCTACAAATGGCTCTCCATAATTTGTTAAAGTCTAACTTACGAGTTAAGTTTCGGCTTAGGATCTTTGTGAAACAACCCCCTGATCCCAGACGGGAGTGTACTCACCCACAATCTCTACATGCATGGAGCTTTCCATAGGGAGAGGCAGGGAGAGGAAGGTGAAGGGATCAAACCTCACGCTGATGTGACCGCATGTCTTACACCGGACCTGAGACTTGAGCTGGCCCTGGAACAGGTCCACAATCACAGACTTGTTCCTGATTAAGTGGTTCTCCCAAGCCTGCAGGGGAATAAGGATAAGATGATGTGATAGATTGAGAGTCACAGTGAAACTTAAGGATCAAGCTACCTGATATATTAAAGGCACTGTTTCAACAATTTTTTTAGGGCTTTAATATGACACCATATCACAGACTAAATAACATGTAGGGCCATGCATCTCAGATTTGTAAAATTGAAAATTGCTGTATACTGCCATAATTAATTGCACCATGTGTGAACAGATCTTTATTTCTAAAAAAAGCAGTATTAAACGCATCCTCACCTCTGTTGCGACTTCTTCATCCGGCCTTCCATCGCTATCCTTGAGCTCCACATACGGCTTCTCATGCACCCTGTTCAAGTCTTCATGTAACCCATCCAGTAAGAAAGCTAATAACTCCTGGGAGTCGTGTTGCTGGAACCCACTGAAGCGAGGTGCATACTTGGCTATCGTCCACTGCAGAAAGAGCATAGAGAGCGCAACATAAGTTTAAAAGTTTTAGAGACTGAGGATTACAGAATAGTTGCATTTGTCAAGAAGCTTTGCTGTGATTTTGGCCAACTTATATTTTTTCTGGTACCATGTGTTTAGCCTAACAGGGATTATGAATCGTTGCTCCCACACTATTAAGGATATATTGACTGCTTTGAGAGGCATAGTGGTTTCTATAGGGTCAAGGGAAACTCACAACCTGCTATGACCCCAAGGCGCTTGCGCCGCGGGGTCATAGCAGGTTGTGAGTTTCCTGAGACCCTATAGAAACAACTATGCCTCGAATATTAAAAGCAGTCAATATATATTTTATATACCGAAAAAAAGGAAAACGTTGACTCACCCATTTAGGTTTCCATCTCTTTGAAGTCATGAATATTAACACCAACAATAACATAAACAAAAAACCCCAGTATTTTGCGATCGAGACTAGTACACAAAATGGCGATCGGTCGTCTGCGCTGCGTGGATTGGTAGATTCGTCGCCTGAATGCAGCGACCAAAATCGAATTGCACTCAAACACCGTTAACGGTATTGCGCATCGGTCATCGCACAAAAGAAACTTATACGGTAACACGTAAACCAAAATGGGGATCGCAGCAAAATGACGTCACGTTTCACAGCCATGGAAAAAGTGCTATGAAAAATGGATATAAACCGGTAGAGCCGGGAAAAATGACTATGAATTTCAATTAGCGGCATGGTTAAGAACATGACTGCATTTTCAACCAATCAGAAGACAGGATTAGTAAAGAATCTTAAAATGAGGTATATAATCACATTTATTCAATAGAGTTCTTTAGAATACACATTTTCTTTTTTCTTTTTTCTTTTTCAGATACAGTTTTAAACAATGGTTTCAGTATAAACTAATCAGAATGTATTTGGGACACATCACGCAAAATATCACTAATGATATCATTCTGCAACTCTCATTCTTCAAACTCATCAACTCCCAAATGTCTTGCAATACTCGGCATTGAAAAAAGAATGAACATAAATCATAAAGATAAGAAGATATACAACCGTACTCACCCTGAGTTTGAGAGGTGCTATACTCCGCGCTGTACCTGACCAAAGGTCATTGCAAAGGTCACCATATCTCTTGGCAAGATGACCTTTCATCCCCAGAGGGTTTGTACTGTGAAGAAGAAGAAGTGCATTCAAACTGATTCAAACATGAACAAGACACAGAAATAATCAGCATCCGAAAGCCACTGAGAATACACCTTAATCATAGTATCATTGAATTCTTTGTCCAACTCCACCATTATTATTCAAAGAATTATTTCAACACAAAAATCATACTATAAAAAAATCTAACATTTCTTAATTTGCTTGGAAATTAAAATTAAAAAATATCTGATATCATACCTGAAGTGTATAAGGTTTTAATTATTTTGAGCTGACAAAGAAAAAGAACCAGGAGAAAATTTTGATATAATAATAATAATAATAATTATATTTATAAGGCGCTTTATTCAAGTGTTTTTAAGCGCACAGGTGGTGCTGTCTAACTTAGTATAATCATTCCTGAAGTGCATAAGGTTTTGATTACTTTGAACTGACAAAGAAAAAGAAGCAGGAGAAAATGAATATGAAAGAAGAAGACAAGGTATACTTCAGAAAGTAAGAGCATACATACTCTAGGAGTAGACGAGAACATGTCAAAGATGAATCACAAAAGTGATCATACAGTCACATATTTATGATTTGTTTTTGTTTCAACTTACGGGTTGAGTTCATAGAGGTAAGACTTAGTTTGGAAGTATAGTCTGAGAGGCTGGGTGTTGCTGATACACTGGACGGCTGAATTCATGAAACACGTGTTACCAAGGTTACTAAGACCGGTCACACCTTTATCTGTTCGCACACCTAAAAAAAAGACACCAGATGTTCATTGAAACAGATGAAATGGTACTCCATACAAGAGTAAATGTCATAGAAAATACATAGCTTTTAATGGCATCACTGTTTTACAAATTGTAGTTTGAAATTTCAAGATCCTAAAATTTGTAATTCAGGGATGGGATGCTACTAACCCCATTTGTATTTACTACTATCGAATTGCAGATACATGTAAGTTACGTTGGTTTGAAATATATCCCAACTAACTTGGTACATGAAAAAGATCTCAATGAAAAAAAAAAATGAATACTAAACTTCCCACTGATTTCTATTTTAGTGCAAAGAACTTATGAATCTGCTTCTCTGGTCAAGATGATGATTGGTTGTTTTAAGTTTTGTTTTAATACACCAATAATAGGTGCCAGTGTATGGCAGACATACATGTACTTGTCTACAGTGTAATTATGTAATTCACTTTGTGTTTATATTTTCATAGCAAAAATTGTATGCATAAATATTCCTTGACATGTTACTAATAACAAGGTTGTTTTCTCTACCATAATTCTTTTCAAAATGTTGGTTCACATGCAAATCTAAATCGAAAGGAATAATCAGCAAAATGAAGTAAACTCGTAGATACTTACTCGATTGCCTATCTGCTTTCTTCTTGGCTAATAATGACATCTCTTCGGGCCAGCTGAGATCCTTATTCCTGATCTCTATCAGTAAGCTCTGCTCATCGGCAATGCCGAGCTGATCCAACGTGCTGGAATCCTCTTCAAGGACTACAGGGTTGTTCTGAGGTATGCAAAGAGAGAGGCAATGAAACAATGGGAGCAGAGTGAAGAGGGAGAAGGAAGAGAGTAAACAAACAAAAATGGATGAGAGAGTAAGAAAGAAGGGGGAAGAGGGATATAGTGAGAAAAGTGTGAAAAGGATGATAAGAGAGAAGAGCAAGGAAAGAAACAGGAGGGGTCGTGGAGAGATAGGAAGACAAAAAGAGAGTGTAAGGGTTAAAGAAGACAGAGGGAAAACAGTGAGGTGATTGATATAGAAGTATGGGAGAGAAATGTTAAAGGGATGAACAAGACAGACATCCATAGAAGCAAAGAATGATCAAAGAGAAAAATGGAGAATCTACTCGAACTCTGAAATGCAGCGTATTCAATATTTATTTTTCTTTTCTGTATGATCAGGCTTGAAAACTATTATGAGGGATAAGATTCCAAAATGCAGCAGAGATAGTGGAGCTCCAATTTTACAAATTAGGTTGTTTACAATACAGTGTGCCAACATTTTCAAAGCACAAAAGAAGAACAAAATGAGGCACCAAATCATGTTGAATACAGTCCAACCTGCTTTAGTGACCACCTGTCTACAAAGACCACCTGCCTACAAGGATGGACCACATTTTTGTTTCCCTTGAATATGGTTTCTCATTGAAACATGTACTAAATGAACCTGTCCACAAAGACCACTTTTTGTGTTTCCTTGGGCAGTCGCTGTAGACAGGTTTGACTGCATAACATTTCACAACGATGGTCTAAATTTGTAAAATCTCACCTCGTCTTTGAGGTTCCATAACCTCATCTCCTCCGTTCTGACCCTTAACCTCGCCGATAAGAAGTCATGGACCTGCTGGAGCGTGTGCATCTTACTGAAGCATGCCACGTACGCCTGGTAGCGTTTGGGAGCTTGGGGGGTACCACTGTTCCCTGAGATGTTGATACCGAGTCCCGAGGAACTCAGTGATATATTGCCTGCAAGGGAAAAGATGGTGTGTTTAAAGCCTTTCTGCACTAATTGAATCAGAGCTTAAATTAATCCAAGGCCATCAAGGCCATGGCCGTGGATGCCCCTTTGATTGGACTCAATGCCCCTCTCATTGGCCTTGGAGATTTTTTGTGCCCTTTCCAATTCTTCCTATTTGTGCTGTAATATAGGAGTGTGCCCTACAGAAAAGTGGCCTTGCCCTAAAAATATTGAAATTTAAGGCCTGTTGAATAATAATAATAATACATTTATAGAGCACAAAAACTATCCAACATTAAGTATATATTCTACTGCGCTAGTTTGGCCAGGAGGGATATGACCTCCCTGCGTGGTTACTGGCAAGTGCTTATCTCATCAAATCAGCTCTCAATTAACATAAGAAAAAGAGGACCATGGGGGATCAACCAGTACCGCTTAGGCATTGTTGGATGTATAGAGGGCGCACGTAGCTACAAGTAGTGCAGTCCCGCTTTAAAGGTAGTTGAAAATGTATATTATGTATTTTGACAAAAATCTACTGAATGATGAAAGCAACATATGGGTGGTGAATGAGTGGTTTTGAAATAGACCAGTTCACGGTTAGCACCTTACTGCAATGACCCCGAATATCCACAGATCTTCAAAACATGAAGAGGTCCCACTTTGTACATTTTGAAATAATCACTCCTACAGCGATGGAGGTGCTTTATTATAAATAGCCTTTGTTCCCCCTTTTCAAAGAATACTTCCACCTGTGAACCATGGAGTGCACTGAATGTGCATGAATGAATAACGATACATAACTTTCATGAGCACGTATCCAGTATTTCGTCTCCGTGTATTTCAACATCTGTGAATCACAGAATCCTTACCAGGAAGATCTTTGAGCTGACAAAGGACGTGAGACTGACTGGACTCATCCAGACGTTGCTGTCCAATCGGCGATATTTTGTGGTTCTCAATGGGAATCGCAGCAGATGGCGCAGACAGAAAAATGGCCTACCACAAGGAAGTGTGCTCGCACCGTTACTCTTTAACGTGTACACGAATGACCAACCGATCCACCCAAACACCAGGAGCTTCCTCTACGCTGATGATCTCTGCATCGCCACCCAGAACCAGTCTTTTGTGAAGTTGGAGGAGTCCCTCAGTGATGCCCTGGCCGGTCTCATCCCATACTATGCGACCAACCACCTGAGAGCTAACCCTGATAAAACTCAGATAAGCGCATTCCACCTCAAGAACAGGGATGCCAACCATCAACTAAGGATCAGCTGGTATGGGAAAAGGCTGAAGCACACTCCCAACCCAGTCTACTTAGGCGTCACACTCGATCGCTCCCTTACCTACAAGAACCACATCGCCAACACAAAGGCAAAAGTTGGAGCCCGCAACAGCATCCTCAAGAAGCTAGCCAACACCAACTGGGGGACTGATGCCAGAACAATCCGGACGACAGCCCTCGCGCTTTGCTTCTCTGCTGCGGAGTATGCATCACCAGTATGGAGTAGGTCGGCCCATGCACCCAAGATTGACCCAGCTCTAAATTCATCTTGCAGAGCGATCACTGGATGCCTAAGGCCAACTAAAGTAGAAGACATCTACCTGCTCTGCGGTATTGCCCCTCCACACGTCAGAAGGTTGGTCTTGTCCCAGAAAGAAAAGGACAAACAAGAAAACAATCCACTCCACCCACTCTTCGAACAACAGCCAGTGGGCAAGCGGCTCAAATCCAGACACAGCTTTCTGCACTCGGTAGAGCCTCTTAATACTAGCCCTCACAACCAAAGGATGACTTTGTGGTCTAACCACCTTCAGACAACTCCACATAAACTCTCCCTCAGCCCGAAGGAATCCCTCGCAACCGGCTCCAGTGAGACTTGGCCTACCTGGCTTAGCCTCAACCGCCTAAGAACTGGCTACGGTCGATGCAGAGTCCTAATGCAGAGGTGGGGTCTAGGAGACGAACAAACGGCATGTGAATGCGGCCAGGAACAGACAATGGAACACCTGCTAGTCTGCCCACTCCTGCCAGAGCCATGCACCCAAGATGACCTGGAAGCCGTTAATTTCCGTGCCAAAGCCTGTGTGGACCACTGGACGGGACTTGTGTAGTGACTCGATAAGAAGAAGAACATTTGTTCTGCAATGACCTTTATCTGCTCATGCTCAGACTGCAACCGAGAACTGGCTTATTCCTTGAAATCCTCTAATTTAATTCATATCTCCAATGTTAGGGTCATTTGTATCATGGAATGAATTGAATTTTTACAAATTTAAAGAAAATGAATGTTATTTTTCTTCCCTTAGTATTCAGACGTTGATCAAATTTGAAGAACTATCAACATTCTAAACCAAACTAAAAACAATTCTACTTTATACTTTCATGTCCTTACACAAATGGTACTGTAAAGTTCAAAAATATTATATGTAAAAAAAAAATGAAGTTCCTCAAGTTTATGAACAAAACATTATTCCTAATTTGAATACACATAATATAATTTCTCATAGAGTGCAAGAACACGGCCGACTTTCCTTCACAAACAATTTTTTTTTTAAAGTAACAAATCATTTTTATTCCTGGACACTCACCAAGTCATCAATGTACCTCTGCCAAATCTCCCATTATATCTGAAATAGTCTCCAACTTTAAACATGATATTTCACTTCTTTTCTTCTTTTTTTTTATACTAAAATGAATAGCCCGTTTCTTACCTAATCCAAGATTGACACCACTCCAACCATTTTGCTTGACTTGAGGGGTCTGGTGTCTCAATAACTTCACACACAGAGGGTACAGTTCTAGCTTGCAGGATGTATTGCCTTGCGTCGTCGGCTGAACGATCACCTACAGCGGACGAAGTCAAGTGACATATTGTTATTGTTGGGTCCGTTCACATCTAGTTTCGTCTCATATCACAATAAATATGTCATTTTCATAATGCAATCAAATTTAATGCTCAAATGTTTGTTAATTGGCTGTTAGAAATTATTTCATTCACTGGTTTATACAAATAATTGTGTTTAAAAAGTCAGAATCCTCATTTTTACATTAATTGTTGCTAGGTAGGACAAACATTATGGCTTGTCCTGCCTAACAACACGGAATTTATGCAATCGGCATTCTGACTATTGAAATACATTTATTCGTAAAGCATTAAATTTGATTAAATTATGAAAAAGGCATATTGACATGATGTTGTCTGAATGATCACCTACATGTACATGTTGTTTCGTACAAAGACATATTATGATCATTGGAACAGTTCACACAGAGGATACAATTCAAGTGTACACAATGTAATCCCTTGCGATGTCATCTCAAAGATCACCTACAACCGTCCAGAGAGATAAAGAGACCTATTGTTATAATTTGATCCGTTCACATATCGAGGGGTCTGATGTCTCAATAACCACCAGCACAAACATGCAGCTTGCATGAAAGTTCAAATGAAAAAAAAGAAATGTTATAGTGTTGCTTCTTCCGTTGTTCACACAAAAGAACTTCAACAGAGTGCAATGATCCGATTTCCCAACATCACATGACTTTGTGATCTTCACTATCATATGACGTACAGTACCAGTTGAAAACAGAAATTAAACAATTCACTTGCTCAACTGCTTCAATCAAAATTCGAGCTAGAAATTAGATATTCTCAAACTCTTAAAGCACCCCTCAATTCACATGTTGGAATGAAGGGAGGTCAAGAGGGCTCCAAAAGGGCATTGTTCTCAGATAAGTCATTTTCTCTTTTCAAAATACAATTTTATTTAACAACGCAACTTGTAAAGAGGATCAGAAAGTTTATTTTCACCATAATAATGTAACCGGAAATGTCTTCTGCCCCATCACCTAGAAGGCTATTTAAGAGGCATTTGTATACTCTTACCAATTTTTATTAAAAAAAAAAAATTGCTTTTAAAATGTGAATAATTCAGCCATTGGCTGTGAATGATATTTTCTTTTATACCATGAATTATAATTAAATAAATAAAAAAGAGAAATACAGAAGACCTAATGAATATGGTTTACATTAGAGGTGTCGTGGATGAGTGGATACGTGGCCGGACTGTCGATCACAAGGTCCGCGGTTCGAGCCCCGCCGCGGCACTAATGTCCTTTGGCAAGACATTGATCTACATTTGCCCCTCTCCACCTAGGTGTTAAATGGGTACTGGTAGGAAGGATTTCCTTAAAATGCTGTGAGCGTTGAAATCGGCAGCCTAGCATAGCCATGTAATGTTGGAGCACCTTGAGGACCTTGCAAGGTCGATACGTGCGCTATATAAGAATCCAATATTACAGCAACAGATCTAAACTTCAGCCCAAAAGGAGGCATAGTTCTGTTGGATATACTTGGGTTTATTTTACACCATCATTATTAATCCGAAAGAACTTGAAATAATATAATTTGAGCAATTTTTTAACATAAGACTCCAGACTTCAAATCACCTGATGCGCAAACTTAACAAACTTAAAATTCTGCAAAACCTTACCATGTTCCACCAATGCACAGAAAAGTCTAAGTATTGAATTAATGATCAGCTGCCAATGGGTGATACTAACAATCAAGAATTTGGGACATATCCTCATTCTATCTTTTGCACAAAAGTGCCATATGTTGTCAGCAATAAATAAATAAATATTTGCAAGACACATCTCTGTGTGCATATTCATGGTCAAGTAAGACAAATGTCTCCACATAATAACAATTGTATTTCGGCTGTAAAATCCTCTGTAGGAATAATAATATAGTATTAATGACTACTTTGAGAAAAACAACTATTTCTCGAATATTAAAGCAGTCATTAATACTTTTATATGCTGAAAAAAGAGTCAATTTACCAATCAACTGGTAGAACAGGAAGAGCAGAAATAAATAGTTAAATAACTCCTTGAATAACAGTAACAGTAGAACTTCGTAAAAAATCTGTAACCCCGTAAAAACTCTTTAACTCCGTAAAACTCTGTAACTCCGTAAAAAATAACTCCGTAAAACTCTGTAACTCTGACTGCAAGCCTATTTGTTATAGATGTTTAGTGTGCAGTTTTTAAAGTTAAATGTAGGGGCTTGCACCTGCTGACTGGAAACATGGGCATGGCTACTTGCAGTGATGTTGCATGTGCATGGGAAATTCTCCAGGTTGTTTGTGATCTCATTCAAAAATTCATTTAGTTCCCGCAGTTCCTGGCTTTCACTACGCTGACCACCAGTGGATGTCGATGACGATGGTACTGATTTCGGATCAACAGCTGCCGCGATAGCATGACTCATGTTTTCTTTTGCTGTACTGCTGGTCATAGCATAGTGCTTGAGACTGCTCTTCGCCTTGTGTCCGGAGACACTCATGATCTCTCTATCTCGGAACCCAGCATTTTGTAGGGTACTGATGCTGGTTGCCCTTAGGCAATGGTTGGTGTAAGCCTTGGTACCTGCACGAGATGAAATTGTTTTCATCTTGTCTCCGATGCTGTTTTTCCCTAGGGGTGCATTACAGTACCATTGATCAGAAGAAGATAGATTGAATTTCAACTCACGCTTGGCCTTTGCATTTGCCGGTCTCTGCCAAAAACTCATACATTGTTGATTCAATTTATCTTTGTAGCGTAAGAAAGAGGCAACAGGACATCGTGGACCATGAGTTGGAATCATGACACCACCTTGGCTTTTCTCTAGTTTATCTGCACGGTTGTTTTTTGTGAGTGTATCTTTTAGAGATATGGAGCATTTTCCCCCTTCATCACAAATGTCAAAGCTGTCGAGTGTCATTTCACGCAAATTCTCTCTACCCCGATTGCAAAAGTACAACATTACGTCTATAAAAACCTTGTCCTGAAGACCCACAGGATCATCCAAATCAAGCGAACCTTGGATTTGGTCCATGTCTTCTGCTGACATAGCTGGTTTGTGAGTTACAACTCCCTTTCCTTCCTGTTTAAGCATTGCTGAAAAATGCTTAAAAACTCTCGAGTTGGAAAAATCTTCATGCTTGATAATATCAACCTTGTTAGAATTGAGGAAATGTCGCTGAAGTCCAAATCTAAGAGCTAACATTGACTTCTTCATGTAAAAAGATCTGTTCTTCCATCTAGCACCAGCGTAAAACTTTTGGAGTACATTGTCCAGCTCCAAATTTGAAAGTTTGTTTACGTTATTGAGGTCTGTGTTGATAACTTGCAGGAAGTCTTCAAATATTTTCATGAAGAATTTCACAGAATTTGTGGTGTTTTTGCTGTCAGCAGAATTAATCTAGTCTTGCATTTGATCATCATCAAGAAGTTGAAATCTTGGGAGAGTTTCTTCAGCCATTTTTACCTTGTTTGGAATTCTATGCCTAGCCTACAAAATTTAGTACGATCGAGATTGCCGTACGGTCGTCTGCGCTGCGCTGTATTAAAAATTGGTAAATTAAGCTAGCGACCAATTCTTCGCACACGTATGTATGGTATCCACGCTCGCTCAATTCAGATTTTAACATGTGAACCAACGGGTATTTCAGCAAGACTGAACTATTTTCCCGGTAACAATGGTAACTGGAATTTTGCCGGGATTTCACCGATTTACTCTAGAACTACTACATGGGTTTGGCATTTTTCGTTTATTTACGGGAATGGCTAAAACCATGACTGCAATTTCGACCAATCAGATGGCTGGATTTCCTAAGTGAGGTATATAATAGATAATAACAAGAGGGACTTGCAATTACCTATCAATAGGCGGTGTCAGACACAATTTTCTGATCCATCTTGAACTATCTAGATACGGTAATAGCTATCTATATAATTCACATACATACATGTAGGTGACAGACAGGCTATGAATTATCTAAGTAGCTATAATCTAGTTTATTGATGGGCCATTATGACATCATTTCGTAGCGGTGCCTAAAACAATGGATATGCAACCTTTATGACATCACAGACAGTGAATTATCTAGATAAATAATTGGCCTGTCTGACACCGCCTAATATATGTACGTTCGTTTATATTCCATTGCTCAGAGGAGCTGGTCCTCTTGCATACCAGAGAGCCCTGATTTTCAAGACTGGGTCAGGGATGATCACATAATCTTTGCTCGGAGTTCCCAACTTCAACCCTAGACCACACACTATGCCTCACCTTATCCCTTTTACCATGGCAGACTGGGGTCTCACCCTTCATCATGGATGATAAGGCTGTGCACAACCGTGTAATGAGGTACCCGAGTACACTCCCAGGCTTACAAGCGAATACTCGAATATTCCGACGCCATGTTTTTTTAATAATTTTTTTGATTTTTGATTTTTTTTTTGCCACCACCATACCACTGGAGCAGTATCCCAGCTCCGTCGCCGAAAACAAATGCGATTTTACTTTGATTTGCAGTTGAAGGCCCCGGTTTAATAATAATAATAACAGTAAACAATGCTGTTTTAAAAACCAAAGATGGCAGAATAATCCATTTTCCTCCAAGTCCATACATAAATCTGGACATTTGGTCCCAGTTTCTGAGTGGTGAGTTTGACAGTGCTTGAGTTGAGTCGAGTTTTTTTTTTTTTTTTTTGCGGCGGCCGAATATTTGAGTAAGAGAAATCATACTCGAGTAGTTGTCAACAGTGCGGGTACTCGAGTATTTGACTACTCGTCGAGCCCTAATGGATGAAATAGAGATATACTTACATTTCTAGGAAGAGCTGGTCCTCCTGCATACCACAGAGCTAGGGCTTTCCAGACAGGGTCAGGGATGATTTCATAGTCTTTGTTCTGAGAGATTGGAGGATGCCGTCTGAGTCTACCGCCCTCATTGGTCAGGGTGGATACTTGCTGTAATATGAGAAATAAAGAACGAGACATGCTATAACAAATGTCATAACCAAGTTTGTAAATATTACTTGAATGTACATGTCTAACTTAACCTGAATTTAGCTTAAAAGTGTAGTCGTGATTCCAAATAATAACCCAACCTCCAGGCATTGAACATTACAAAGACAAGTATATTATGTACTAACACAAATTCATAAGGTATTGTAAGAGAGAGGATACATTTATATCATTTATTTAAAACATTGAATTGATTTTAATTAGGTTTTTTAGTTACAACATCAAATGCTTAATCTATTATGGTAGTCCCTCCATTGCCATAGACACCTACACATGAACCGGTATAAAGGTTCATAAGACATAAATACAGTCATGTAATAGTTACCTGGAAACTTTGCTGACATCCAGTAGACATTCAAGTAATAATATTTTGATATTATAGGAAGGTTATTGTCATTGAATAATTACTTCATGCTTTATCAATCCTTTGCATTGCCTATATCACATACATGTAGCTCAGTATCAACAAATAATGAGTCATATCACATGAAGTTGATTAAGAACCACAGTCAAACATATCTATAAAGGCCATCCGCAGGAGAGAGCAGAAGAGGCCACTGTAGGAAGGTGACCCTTTCTAAGTAGCTTCTGCAACATATCTAATCCGTCCTTAAGTAGGCTTTATACAGAGGTGACCACGATAGGGACTTTTAGATTTGCACGTCGACAGCTTAGACTGCAATGTGTGACGTCATTTTAAGGCACTGCACATGCATTACGTCGTCTCAGTCGGCGATCGAGAATGCGTCAACCTTGATTTTCCTTAATCTAGTATATATATATATACATACATATTGGTATTTATATAGCGCCTTTACATGCTCAAGGTACTAGTATGCCGCGTGCGCATAAAATATACAGTTCCTCAGGTAGACAAAGGAACATCCCTTCCCTGCTATTATGTCAAAACGTGTAGAACAGGTGTCACATGCATATTCACCTGTTCTACACATTTTTACATAATATCAGTGAAGGGATGTTCTTTTGTTGAGGGTAGAATGAGGAACTGTATATTTTGTTCTCTTTCTTTGTCCGTGATGTTCATAGTGTTACTTCCTGCATGCATGTATATCGTCGAGTACAATCTAAAAGATTTCTAATTGTAGTCAACATGGGCAGTTAAGTACGTTGACACGCATGATCAGTCGGCGTTCGTCGTGTTCTTGTCCACTCAATCTAAAAGTCCCTAATGACAGGGTTTGAATGGATATACATGTACATGTACCTTTTTATTATCAGCTGCTACAAGAGATGTATTATCAATGGGGCCGGGTTTACAGGGGATGGAGTTGGTAGGAACCGCTACAGCATGTCCAGGTCTCTTCCTTGACGGGCTGGAGCTGTTGAATGATGACGCATGCTGCAGTGGCTTCACGCTGCTGGTAGATCCACCCAACGAGGCATGGCGCGGGAGCGAGTGGGACGTGCCGGGCCTCGAGCCGGTCGTGGCGTTCTGATTGGACGACGGTGAGGAGGGAGAGGAGTGGGATTGGCGGTAGTTGTCACCCCATGCCTGGCCGCCGTTGACCTGGGTGCGACGAGTGAAGGATGGTGATGAGGTGGTGTGGTTAGGTGATAGGGCGGATAGGCTGGTCTGGACACCAGCATGTCTTGATGTCTGTTGGCCACTGCTGCTGGTAGGCTGTAAAACAAATGACAGAACAAGGATAATTTGGTGTTAGAAAAGTTCCTGTACTGGGCAAAAGAAATTATGGAATCAGTCAACAACAGAATACATGTACAAGGGAAGCAAGCCATCTTCTTCTTTCAAGAAAATGTGCCTCTGGAAATCACCTTGGTAGGTTCACACATAAGCTATTAAATGAGAGATGGTAAAACAGACCCACACAGTAATGGTATCTTCCAAATAAAGAAGGCCATTGGTCAATATGAACTGAAAAGCCAAATCCATAGCGGCCACCATTTGAGATTTTCAATTAGTTATGAGAGTAAAGTGAGAGTTACAAGCACGCTGCACAAAGTCCAAAGCCCTTGCGACAGGGGTACAGGAATAGCCCCCTCTTTAACACACACAGAAAATAATTCTGAGGAAAATTTGGCAGCTATGCAAATCCAGCTTTGTTTACTACTGCTAATCTATAAAAGTAGATATCAAGTAACAACTCAAGAAGAAATGACTGACCAACTACCAGAATGAAACCAAACAACCAGTGGTTCTTCCTAATAGTCTATTAACCTCTTTTAATTTGACAGGTTTCAATTCCGCTTCCGCTTTGTTTTTATATAGCGTCCAATACATTGATACAACAATGTGTCTAAGGGCTTTACCGATATATTGTTACCCCGGTCATCGGATTCAGGCTTACCCGCACACAATGTATGCACATTCTCCACTCCCTGGGGAGCATTCCAGCCAGTCTCCATTTTATAAGTGCGCACTTGCTCATCCAACCACATTAACTTTCGCACCCTACTGGATACCCAATAGACACCTGGGTGGAAAGTGGCAAATGTAAATTAATGTCTTGCCAAAGGACTTAGTGCTGTGGCGGGACTCGAACCCCGTACCTTGTGATCTACAGTCAGGTGACTTATCCACTAGACCACAACACCTCTACAATCTATCTGCTCACCCTGTAGTTGACATAGTCACTCCAGCCTTTCCACCAGTGAGCTGAGATGAGGTACCAAGTCTGCGCCGGTCTGAGTCCTCTTCTCCTTTCTCTCTCCACCCACCCCATGATCACCTCTTTCTCTTCCACTGTACTCTGCGGTCTTAGACCAAGTATGATGTGACAGATCTGAAACAAAACCAATTTAAAACTCTCATTAACACTTCACAATTTCTAAAGGTATTCAACAAGGGAAAGAAATGGTATCAACTAGACATCTGGGCAGAGAGTCACGATACCGCAGACCTGCCAACCTCTGGACTTCAAAAACTGTATTCTTTAGTCCCATAAGTTGTATTTTACTGACAAAAGTTGTATTCTTGAAAATAAACACAAATTGTTGGGCGGATCAATGCCTCTTACAGTTTCTACCTACAGGACGAATTTTTGTTATTGATCATTGGTTGAATATGCATGATTTCGTCATGACTGGTGTGTTCAATGAACCAATGAACATCCCCAAATTGCCGATGTGAGATGCTTGTAGGATACTTTACAGGACAGAATGGGCATTTTGCCATTGAAAATAGCACACACACACACAAAATACCAACAACAAAAAACAAAAAAAAATTAATTTGCTTCTAAAAATCGTACGAAATATGACTAAGTCGTACTGGTTGGCAGGTCTACAAATGTATGGAGGAAAAACCATTCCTTCTTTGAAATTAGATCAATTGTAATGATTAAGATTCTTGATTATGCTAAATCTATACTGGAAATCAGGAAAGGTCCCTATACTGTATTTAAAAAAAAAAAAATGAAACATCCAATCTCTTGTCTCTTGCTAGGTCTGAGCTATGAAGCAGTTTACCTGGAAGAGTAACTTGTTGAAGTCATCTGGAAGGCTGTTCTTGACAGCCCACACCTGGAACTCTTCAGCAGTGATACCTTGCTCACTGTCTCCTGCGTGCTTGGACATGATGTCTCCAGCGATATCCACAGGGTTCAGGTTCTCTACGGCTTTGAAGTCCTATCCACCACGAGGGAATGAAAGCGTTCGAGGAAATAAGAGAAACAAGGTATTAGAAATTAAGAATGACATTATTATCACCTGGTACATGAAGGCTCATGATCAAAGTCACATGATAATTTATATCATGCAAATTATTGTACGGCTTTACAAGCTTTTTCCAACTCTTCAAATCAGACATTACAGTCACATTAACGTGTAAAGCCTACAGCCATAAGGCCAACTACTACATTGTATGTATGGCCTTTTTTGTGATATTGGTGATATGATGAGATCAGGCTGTGTGTCCTTATGACACTAACATAACTTACAGCAATGTTCTGTAGAGAGAAAATCTTTACATCAAAAGTTCAAAATTGTACCAACATAAAGTCTGGTGTGGTGAAAACATGCCTAGCTGGCTATCATGGGGTTCTGCAGTAGTTATATGGCATCTACCAGGTGTTTACAGCATAATTTTTTTTTTTTTCAGTGGCACCGCAAGGCCTTATGGCTCAGCTTTACATAACAATATGACCACTGCATGACAGGGCAAGCATCATGCTCTTTGGAGACATCCATCATGCATTATTTTAATGAAAGAGAGAGAGTCTGCCTTCATTAAAAGCTAATCTACAATTAATATTTCGCTGTTTAATGAGATGGAGAATTTGATCTTCAAATATTCTAGGATCAACAACATAATTGCTTGGATGGTCAACTTTGTCATTCATTATAGCAGCTCAGGTCTACTCATTCACAAACAACCCAATTAGTATGCAAATGTTATTAGGGTTAGCGTGGCAAACGTGTCAACAAGACACATACCGGTAATTATAATTAATTTAATCCCTATATCCAATAGTTTGGACGAAACTTACAAGTAATTAATTATACATCCCCTAAAATGATGACTGAGCAACTGCACTTGAAGTATTATAATCTTAAAAGAATATTTTGAAGAATTATGATTATCACAATTTGAAATAGTTGAAATAGCAAACAAACACAGATGCCCTGTTGTCTACTTCTCAAAAGTGAAATTGTAAACAGACTTCAAATGAAAGACTAATTCATTAAATATTTTATTATGTTTGTGACAGAGATCCTGAAATGTCAATTACGGCATTAGACTATGAAAGTTGAATGTTTATCTTACTAAAAATATACCATTCTTTATCATATATTGAATGACATAGGAGAATATTTAGACCTAAACTGTAAGCTACAGAAAACTACAGAGGAAGCATTTACTAGAGTGTTATAGTTTAGGAAACTGTGCATAGGTATTAAGCTTTGAGCAGGAAAACCAAACCACCGGTCAGAACATGGATATCACAGCAGATTATTAACTGATGCTCATGGACCCAACACATTTTATTCTGGAACCCTAGAACCCTTGGCGCCCGAGATTAGTGATGATACATGCAAGTCTAATACTACTGAACAGTGTATTAAGTATAAGTCAACGTTTAAAGAGGACATGATTCAGACAGCTGAATTAATGTAGTTAAAACTTGTTAGTTCAATCATATAGCAACAAGACACATGTATTGCTTCATAAAACATGCTCATGTGGCATAATTTGTATGCCAAATACTACTTTTGTCTCTCTATCAGTCTAAAGTACATCTTGTCTTTGTATTCTGTTGTGTTTTTCTATAGAGCGCTTTTAATAGGGACATGTTTTATTACTATGTGTCATGCGCTATACAAGAACGGTTAATTATTATTATTAAAGCAACGAACAAGTTTCCCCACCTTTGAGATAGAAAACAGATACGGTAAATGCAATCTACAATTTCGCCAAAAAATAAAAGATTGTCTTTAGTTTAAGCAGAAGGACAAAGAGGCAGTAGTACGGACATGCAAATTTATGATGAAAAACACATCAACATACGCACAAACAGACAGACAGACAAACCGTTTCAGCCACCGTTGCAGTGAGTGAAGTCATCACCGCACTACAGGTCTTGACAGATGCTTTGTGAAGTCACTTTACTCACTCCTAGCTTTCACTTCAAAGATTTCAACCCAAAGGCTCGTATTCATAAAAGCACACTAACTTCACCATGATTAAGTGGTGGGTTGCATTTAGTCCAATGGTTATGCAGCGTCAAGAGTCACGCCTCTTCATTGGCCAAAAAATTACATAAATTCTGTAACCACTATATAAACAAACCAAAATCACCTCTACATGTATCATTATGAAATCAATTTCTCATCTTCATTTTGTTTCAGGACTACGGTAATTCATAAGGAATAAAGAGGTTGTCGATTGGCACTTCATATTCCAGTGGACTCTGTTAAACCTTGTTTAAAGGGAAATGGTAATCAGTTTCCATGTGCAGAAGGTCATAATTCATTGACACCAGACTTGGTGGAAACACCATTAATGGGTGTACAAGTCTCGCAAAAAAGCAATCCCGAGGTCCCAACAAGAAATACACCCATAGTCTCGCGGAGAGTCTTTGGGTGAGGGAAACATAAGACTATGACTTTTCCATACGTGCGATAGGTCAAAATACAGACCATTACAATAAGACCTGTTTGTCCTGGTGACTGGCAACATCTTTTCTTGGGTAGGAAGGAATTCCTTGAATGCTGTGAGCACCGAAATCGGTAGCCTAGCAGAGCCGGGGTAATATTGGAGCGCTTTGAGCACCTTGCAGGGTGGATATTTGCACTATATAAATATCCAATATTATTATTATTATTAAACACCCAAATAGTAACGAATTCCCCATGAGAGCCCACTACTATGCGTCTTTAACTTTAATAGTCCACCTTCATGAATACGAGCCATAGACTAGTACGAGTGAGAAGCGGCAGAGGCAGTAGAAGTAGTAAGCAGCTGCAACACTGCAATCTACAGATGCCCAAGAGGACTTTTTAGTGATGAAGATGACAGTAACCCATGGTGATAGTGATGGTGGTGGTGGTAGTCATGAGAGAGTTAGAAGAGGAAGGCACACTCTCAGAAAGCCCCAAAGGAAAGCGGCATGGTGGTAGTAGTGATGATAGAAACCCAAGCCAGTCCTACTCAGCTAACAGGGAAAGAAACAAGGTCTAAACCCACTCTGGCTTTAATATCTTAGTATTCTTTTCTTTGGGGTTTCCTTTTTTTAAATCAATTAATTTTTCATCCAAAATGCACATCCCTAAAAGATGAGTGCAACCAATGGGTTAGTGGGTAAATGAGAACTATGAACTGACAAATTTGTGACCTGATTATGTTTAGCATTGAAACATTGGAATCAGATTGTAATCATTAAATGGATTTTAGAATGAATATGTTAGCATTAGAACACTGAGAAGGGAAAGACCGATGTGTTAAAATTGCATTTTTATCTGAAAAGTATCAGTAGGAGAAAAAGATTAGAGTTTTAGATTGTTTTTCCAATTTTCATTTTATTATCATTCCTATGCTACTACAGTGTATAAGCTGATATAGTGAAATGAAACAGAAATGGAATGAATAAGAAACATTGCTAGAATCTGGGAAGAATATAGTTGTTTATTATTATTATTATTATTTTTATTTTTTCATTTTTTCATTTTTTCATTTTTTTCCTCATTTTTCCCCCATTTTTAAAAATTTTAATTTATTTTATTTTATTTTATTATTTATTTATTTATTTATTTATTTATTTATTTATTTATTTATTTATTTATTTATTTATTTATTTATTTATTTATTTATTTATTTATTTATTTATTTATTTATTTATTTATTTATTTTTTTTTTTTTTTATTTTTTTTTTTGGGGGGGGGGGGGGGAGCAGGACGGGGCAATTTTTGAGGGGTAGTATACCAGAGGGGGGTTGACCTTATCTCTTCCCCACCTCATCATCATCATTCACGCATGGAATATAACAGACTCACAATCTCAAGCCCCACCCTCGATTCTCGACGAACGTTGAGCAGCGCCGTGCACATCCTCTCCAGCTCCGTCTTGGACAGTCTCCCGTCACGGTCCGCATCAAAGATCTTGAAGTAGACTGTGAGGTAGAAAGAAGGATGGAGGGGTCGAGAGGAGGATGGAGGGAAGGACGAAGAGAAGGAAGAAGGAAGGAAGGAAAGAAGTTTCGGACAGATGATAAGGTAGAAGACCAGGTAAAAAGGGGTATGGAAAGGGAGAGAAATAGAAAAAGAAATATAATTATGGTACATATTAAGATATAGCATCAGATACAAACCTACAATGTATGAACACAATATGGTGTAGGACCCTGTAACATAAAAATTATCTTATATTACAATCAATTGTGAACATCTATTTGTCAATGCTACAATCAATTGCATACAATGATGAACTGCATATTTACATGTAGCATAAAACTGATAGTATGTTAAAGATAAACTTGAGTTCTGGTAAAAAAAAGAAACTTAATTCTCACAGAATCAAACGAAACTTACACTGAATGTTCAAGATTACAAATAAATGACATGTACCAAACAATTTTGAAAGAAAATGTATACTGGCTGAGTAATGAGCATAGAAAGACAAGGAAATCAAGATAGTACCAGCCCCGACACCATGTGTGTTGTCCCATATATAGCTTTCTGTGTACAGTGCTTGTTACTTTACCAAGACTCGGTCAAATTTGTTATGATTTTGATGACTCCAGAACCTTGCAGTGCACACCAATACTTACATGCTACATGATCAACTGTTTCTGATCCTTTCCACACCTTTTCTTTCACAATGCAATCGCATTACCAGTACTAAAGTTTATCTTTAAGATACCACTGAATAACAACCAATCAATATTTATCAACATCTTGGTTTTAGCATGACCAAACATATCTTCTGTTTACCATCTGACTGCATTTTTGTAAAAACAGCCTCTAACATCATTAATGTACTGTACATGTTAAACTACAACTTTTCATCACCACCACCTCACGGAAATAGCTGAATATTAGTGAATAGACTAATTAATAAATTGTCTTCCTTTATGATAATCTGAAAGCTCTCATCACAATGATTACTTTCAATTGCCTGTATGTGAGTATGTCTGAGTATTTGTGTTTCCACAAGGGAAGTGCACTTTCATTTAAATACATATACAAAGAGCTTCTCTTTTCATTGTGAAAAAGCCTTGTATGCACTTCATTTATTCTCATGATTGTTCTTTTTGATCAGTATTGTATTTAGAGTATTGTCTGATTTCCCAATTTAGTTACCTACTCTGTATACTCATTTTATAAATGTCATTTTCTGTCATTTTCTCCATTTGTTACATAAAAACGTCGGTTATATGTAATTAGCCAATGTAATCGGTTCACAACTTACACAAGTAATCAGCCATGATGGCAACAAGGTTATCACATATCACAAATGAGAAAATTAGGGAAAAGTAGTTTGTATTTCCTTAATCAAAACAACAATGTGCATTTCCTTCATTGTTATGACAACAAGAATGAAAACAACATAGGAGCATCATAATTAGTATTCATACATGTATAATTCATTGTTCATTGACCAACCCTGCCCTCAATGAATAAGTATCTCAACCAGAGCTGCCAATCTTGTGCGACCCCAAAAAGGAACCATAGAAGCAATAAAAAAGGAATTTCAAGCAATAAAACAGGAATTCATTAAAACGAAACTCACAACCACGCGCGACACACTTCCAATGCAGAAATGTCCATTCCTCATGCCGTTTTTTCCATATTAGGACCATATTTAGAAGTAGGTTTTTTTGTTGTTGTTATTTTGGTATTATGGCAGTAGTATATTTTCAAGTATGTTTTAACCTCACTTTTCTATTTAATTTGTGATCAAATCAGTTTAGGGCATTTATTTGATGTGTGGTATGTAAAAATAAAAAAATATATAACAATTATTTAAAAAAACGTATTTTATGAAGAAAAAACGTACTACCGTAATTTGGAGGAAAAAACAGAATAATTCCAGGAAAAACATAATGGTTGGCAGCTCTGCTCAGCCCAGTGGCATTAGTCTATGGAAATTTTTATAACCTCAGTATCCCCCCCCCCCCCACCAAAAAAAGTTATACAAAAAATCAAGAAAAATGAGAAAGTGTGAAAGGATGACTGTTCAATTTTTTAATAAAAACAAAGTAAGTATTTCATGATGGAATGAGTTTCGAATGAACCATGAACTATGATTCATTAGAAAGAGACTGGAAAAGGTGTTATCTGCTGAGAACTACAAAGGCCTTTTTCAGCCACAACCTTTGATACGGAGGCAACAACCTTCTGTCTTTGTCAGTTGAATCTTTAATTAGCACGACGGATTTGTCCCAACATTTTGCTCATTTTGCTTTTTGATAGTCGAGTCACCCCCAAAGATGTTGATGTAGCACGATTAATTACCATGATGGATTCATCCCAACATTTTGTTCTTTGATAGCTAAGTCACCCCCAATGCTGATGATACCCCTCCCCCCTTCCCATGAGGATGCTCGCCATAGCGACGGCTAGAGATTGCATCTCTTGGATTGCTCCGTCGCTCAGGAGATACATTCTCCTCCTTCTTATCATATGTCTAACAAGCGCCATCATTAGGTTCATGCAGCCATCAGCCAGCCAGGCTACATCATTAAGGCATCCACTACGCGCCAGAAGGGCGTTAACCTCGTCTCATTAACAGGGAGTCAATGCCCTTCTGGCTCCGAGCGGGCAGATGAGAGTTGAAACAGCTCCCGGGGCTATGTGCATCGCTGCTGTGGAGTAGACAGACGCCAGTGTAGTGTGAATGAGAAAGGGATAAGTATGATAACCCATCGCCTTTCTCTATTCTTTTTATGACTGGGTACTTGATCAGAGGGGGGAAAAGTTTCCCTGATTATACTCCACATGACACACACTATTAAACCCTTTGGGCACAAAATGAGCTCTAATCGTATTCTGCATATAAGCAGGAAACATTGGATGCTTAAAGCCCCACTGTCCTACTTGTAGCTACATGCTCCCTCTAGTATAGAAAACTTCCCAATCGGTGCCTGTTGGTCCCCCATGATCCTCTTTGTCTTATGTTAGTTGAGACCTGAGTTAATGACCTCCCTGTCAGTGACCTCGCTGTGTGGTCTAATCCCTTCTGGCCCAGTAGTATTGATGGTCTTTAAAGAATCTCAACTGTAACACTTTCCTTTAATCCAAGATTGATATATTCATATCCTCTTAATCTTAATATGATTTGATGATGGTGCGATAATCAGTGACTCAAAATACGGCGACCTGATTTTAGGAACCATTAACCTCAATTTGAATTCAATCATTTCAAATAAAGGCTTCTAGCATGTACTTGTAAAGATCTCAAACTGCGGTAATTTATATTCAATAATAATTTTAAAAAAATTCAATTTGAAAAAGAAGAAAAAATGTGAAACAATACATTAATGCCACCTGAAGATGTTGTGAATTGTTAAAGAAAAGATTTTGAAATGAAATAAACTCACGGAAATTACAAATATTCAATCACATTGTGCTTGATTATTTTTCTAATGTGAAATATTTGTTACAATCTAGAGTTCATGCTTGTGACAGATTTCTCCCCCCCCCCCCCTCTCTCTCTCTCTCTCTCTCTCTCTCTCTCTCTCTCTCTCTCTCTCTCCCTCCCTCCCTCAACACACTATATTTTGCTTCTCCCTTCTAATGATCCTCTTTGTCTCTTTCCTGGCAAGACTTGGCAATATTGACATACAGCAATTGGGGACTTTCCCTTGGATTTCTCTTCCACAACAGATGCCTTGGCTCCCAAACTTTCTGAAGTCAAACGATCTTTCCTTGGCATCCACTCTCTCCTCTAAGGTCATATCATATGGTCATTATCACATCACGTACACATCTTCAATTTGAAGACTGGGAGCCATGCCAAGGTGAGGAAGCAGGGGGGGGGGGGTGTTTCAGAAAGATCCTAAGTCAAACTTAACTCTAAAGTTGGACTTCAAAATTATGGAGAGCTGTTTGTAGCCTTAAAATCAAATATATTCAAAAGCGAAAATTAAAGTATTTCAGACTTTTTATAAATTCCACATCAAGAACAAGAAATCTCCTTGATAATAGAAAATATAAACTATTTGAATGAACATTTTACAAAATATTTTCATTGATACTAGCAGTCCAACTTAGAGATAAGTTCAACTTCAGGCTACATGGGGATCATAGTGATGAATCTTTACATTTTCTGTTAAACTTTCCATGTGTGTATGGGCAAGCCAAGATCATCTACTGTCCCACACATTACCACCAAACAGGGAAAAAATAAACAAAAAAGCATTTCAATTGTCCTTTTCTTGTTAGTGGACTTGCCAGATACAGAATACTTTTCAAGTAGACCACTTTTTAGGGGGGAAAAAGAGGTCTTTTTATTCGAATAGTGTTGAAAAATTACATAGGATCAGACACAGATTTATCTCCAGAAATCAATTTTTACCACCAAAAAAAAAATGAAGACACCACAAGACTCCCCCTTACTTTTGTCTTAGGAAATCAACAGAGTTTACAATTTTAAAAAAAAAATGTCTTGAAACAATGAATAAGATACCACTGAATACAGCAATTACAAATGGAAATTTAGTTTTGCTCATTCATTCATTCATTTATTTATTTTGTTTGTTCTTATTGTTTTGAGTATTGAGTAATTTGAGTTCAACTTACACTTTTGTCTCTCGGGCAGTGGTCCTCTGCAGCAGGCTGATAGTCCACAGGCCATTTCCTTTAAGTCTATATGATTGTCTTGATTCTCATCAAATGCATTGAATACACCTGAAAATACAGAAAAAATATACACAATAATTCAGTAAATGCGCAATATCATGCCATGCTTCCTGTAAGACAAGACCTTTCCCAAATTAATTTCATCCGAAAATGAAACACCGCTTGACACGACCATAGCATAATGTTTTATACTAATTAAAGTGATACCAAAAAGAATGACCATTCAATGGTCACATCAAAGTATTTCATTTTTGAATGAAGTAATCCGTTACAAGTCATATGATATCATATGACATATGGTACATATTGCACGAGATCGCCTACATAGGCTTCACCATACATGCTTTCACAACGGAGCAAGTAAATGTAAATGAGTACCGGTACTTTCATTACCATTCTAGCGATTCCTACATACATGTACATGTACATGCATTTTGAAATGATAAATTTTGCAAGAAAATCAGCTTTTTCACTTTTTCTACATAGGCTTCACCATACATGCTTTCACAATGGAGCAAGTAAATGAGTACCGTTACTTTCATACTTTCACTACCATTCTAGTAATTCCTACCTAAATGTACATGCATTTTGAAATGATAAATTTTGCAAGAAAATTGGCTTTTTCACTGTATAGGATCACATTTCTACATTTCTATATGGTCTCTGACAGTGAACAGGGAGATTCCTTGCAGAATGCATAGAAACAGCAAGAGAGGGAGAGAAGACAGACAGTGGAGAGCATTCATACAACCTGTATCCATGACCCCCGACCCAGAGTTTGAGGAAGGGAGTAGAACTAACGAACGAGGATCACATTTATTCTTTCCATTTTTAGTTTGTTTTTATTTTTGAATGAGATATGTAATTAAATTTACTGAAAATCAGTTTAATTTACCCTAACTCATAATTAATCCATCGATCAAATTTCCTAGAAATTGATAATCGGTTTGAAGCAGGATGTGTGGTTGAAATTAACATACACCAAAGTATAACATGAGGTTTTACAACAGATCATACAACCTTGTGTTTAAGGAGAATAGAACAGAGAATAAGTACTACATGTACATACAAATAGATGAGAGAATACAAATAGTAACACTGTGACAGACCTTTAATGATCTGATCAATTGCTATCCTTTACTCCATGTATCAGTGAGATGAATACAGTACCCTGAACAATACTCATTTATATTTAACCAATCTCATTTCATTTCACCATAAATCAAATTATGTTACACTTACAGGCACAATTACTTGGGGTGCAATGACTGTCATAGACTGGATAAAAATCTCATTACTGGGAAAATAAATCAGTAATGAAGAGTTTTCTGGATAGGAGCCTTAAGCCTAGTTTGGGGTAATCAGTTCATTTTGTATTTAATAACTACCATGCAATTTAAACTACAAAATACGATCAACATACATGTAACTTGGAAATGTATTTTTATCTCCTAAATCAATTATATTTGGAGTGTACAAAATGTTGAAATACAGGCATGTTGAAATAGGTCCTACTCATTGCTGATATTACTAAATAAATTAAGAGTACCAACTACATATATGTGATGTTGTTATTATATATTTGGACTTCACACATAAGACTGGTGATCATTTTGTTGTTAACTCACCTTCCACAAGTTCTGCAGGCATGGGTGGGGCAATGAGTGGAGTGAAGGTATCAAGATCCAGTCTGCCTGACTTGGATTGTGCTTGTAGTACCCAGTACTTCTTCTCCAGTTCAATAATATCTGCCTCTTCCACTAAATAAGAAAAGAGAAAAGAAAAGAAACTGGTAACAATGTTTGTGAATTGTAATGATGACTGGTGTTGGTTCAGGTGACAACAACAAAAAATCGTTCTTCACTTAACAATTTCTAGGAAGATTTTTTTAATACTAAATCTATATTTTTAACAAGGAGAAGAAGAAGAAGAAGAAGGAGGAGGAGGAGGAGGAGGAGGAGGAGGAGGAGGAGGAGGAGGAGGAGGAGGAGGAGGAGGAGGAGGAGGAGGAGGACGAGGACGAGGAGAAGAAGGAGGAGGAGGAGGAGAAGAAGGAGGAGGGGGAGGAGAAGGAGGAGGAGAAGGAGGAGGAGGAGGAGGAGGAGGAGGAGGAGGAGAAGGAGAAGGAGAAGAAGAAGAAAAAGATGAATACGAAGAGGGAAAAAAGATTATATGCGTGAACTGAAGAATCTCTCTGAAAAATGAAATAACGCCTTTTACGTCGTATTTCAGCCAATGCCGATGTTGGCTTTCTTGTTGGCATTTTCGCGTTGCTCATATTACCCACAATTAGCCGACTCATGTATTGTTATTTTTAATTAAATAATTAATTAACGGTCACCATGTTTTTTTGAAAGTGGAGCTGAATTGGTATGATTGTATTGGCTAAATTTCACACATTTTGGGGTCTAGAATTACCTTCATAGCAAATTTAGGTTCTAAAGGGGCACTATAAATGTCATAGATAAGAAGAAGAGCAATAACCTTGCACTTTGAAGGTATTTGCGGTCTGAAAACAGAACTCAACTATCCCTTTAAAGATTAAGATGCAATTCATTTAGTTGGTACATGTAACTTCTTACTTTTGAAATTCACATTAAATGACTTCCATACAGAAAAAACAATAAAAATTAATTGAATTAAATTTGACTTCATCACGGATAACTGTCCAAGAATTAACATGTTAGAATCCCATCAGGTTAAAATTAGAAAACACGGTCAGCGTCACACCTTGAATGTATTAGACAATGACATCCATATATCAGTCACAGGCCGTGCTCCTGGTGGGGAAAGGAGGGGGGGTGGCAAGGGGGCAAAGTGCCCCCCCCCCTACTTTTTCAAGCACCATAGGCATAAACATGCCTCTTTCACATAGGAAATATGGTGACAATCAGTATCAGTATCAGTAATTTTTTAAGGTTTTTTTCTTTGAGGTTACCCTGTGAAGGTGACCCTTTTTCTGGAAAGTGCTCTTCTTAGTGCACCCCCACTGAAAGACGCTCTGCCGCCCCAGACATCTGTTCTGCTCTACTTAATTTTCAGAGTGGTTTCTCACCTCCGAACAGTACGGCTCATTGACTTCACATTATGTCAGCCATTTCTCACACCTCTGAACATTAAAGGTTACAGTAGCTCATATTCACTTGACATTTAAACTACAAGTACATGGAGCCAGGTCCCATGAACAAAACTTCCATGACAAAGAATTCAGATTTAGACAAAAGCAACAGCATGTGCTCCAGTCTTTGTAATGACAAAAGTATACTGGTATACATACAATTTGTAAAAAATTAAGAAAATGACACCCATATATTAATTCATTTTAAAGATCACCACCACTCAAAATTATTATTATTATTACTACTATTATTATTATTATTATTATTATTACTACTATTATTATTATTATTATTATTAATTTCACACGTATGTATATACAGTACATGTACATGTAATTATTTCATAATGTTATTATTTTGGGTTGAATTGCTTTCATAAATACATGTATATATAATATTTTCTGATGCAATGTACATGTATATCATTGCTTTACAAAAATGTAAAGTACATATATGTAGAAAATTCTACAAATCCGCTATACAGTGTATGAGTACTTTCCATTATTATTAATTATCATTGTTACAAATTACAAAATCGTTTCTGGTTGCAGATGAATACAGGTTTCATCATAACAACTGAAAAGATTACAAATGTCATTTTCCTGGTACTATGGTCAAACCACGCCTAATTAATTTGACATTGGTAAATAGAGTACCATCACCTCAAACAAGAGCTTGTTCTATAGGCGCATCCTCATCATCTCGAGATTGCCAAATAGCCCGCTATTTCTGATTTGGGAAATAATCCCGAAGTTACAAATTTCGTCCTCATCATCTCGGGATTGCCAAATAGCCCGCTATTTTTGATTTGGGAAATAATTCAGAAGTTACAAATCGCGTCCTCATCAGCTCAAGATTGCCGAATAGCCCGCTATTTCTGATTTGGGAAACAATCCCGAAGTTACAAATCGCGTCTTCATCAGCTCTAGATTCGACCTCGAAACTTGAAACTCGACCTTGAGAAATTAGCTTGAGATATTTTGCTCAGCGTTTAGCGCATAGTGTGAGTCTTCGGTCTGGTGAAGACGCACAGGACAAATAGCTGGATATTTTGCCAAATAGTGGGATATTTTGCAAACTATCCCAAGATATCTTGGGATGACAATCCTGACCAACTATCTCGCTAATTGCTACTTCGGTTTGATGAAGACGCAAATTAGCTGGATAGTTTGTGATCTGGATAGTTCAAATAGCTGGATATTTGGCAATCTCGAGATAGTCCTAATAGGCCTAATTTAATCCTTACAGTCAAACATGCTCATCATAAATATAATTACATGTACAGAGTCGATATAGTTCTGACAAATAGGCTACAGGCGTTGGCTTCAAAGATGTAAGGGTATTTGTACAATTGCATGAATGAATAATTGAATATGATGTCTGTGTGGTGAATGGGCCCCAATATCTGATATGCACCAATTGAGCCTGGACTTGATTATTATCAGAAACACAATTACAGATTGAAATTTATTCTGTTGCACTACCGGTATGCAATCATTTTCCAGTACCAATATCCGATTCATACATGTAAGGGTATTTGTACGATTGCGTGAATGGATATCAAGTCTGTGGTGAATGGCCACCATTATCTGATATGCAAAATCGCAAATACACTTGGCAAAATATATGAATACGTCACTAAATGAACGTTGGCTTGATTTTTATCAGTAACACAATTATAGTTTGCAACTTGTATATAAATACAAAACAAAAACAGACTTGCCTACTATGTATTTCTGTGTACTAAACACAATTATTTGCAATTAATAATTTGATTTGATTTGTATTGATTTATTGGTTTCTGCATCTTTTTTCTTTTTTCATCATACATTTTCATGAACATAATATGGTTTGATACAATATTTTAAATGTATATAATTTTATACAGGTAATAAACAAATTTTAATAAATATATTGAATGCATAATTAACATACATTAGATGCAGGAGGGCTACAGAAATAAGCAAAGTAGCTTGACGTGCCCGCAGCCCTCAACTTAGATACAACAACAATAACAAATACAAATAGAAAAGACTGACTTGCAGAGAAGAAAAGGAAAGGGCAGAGAAGGAGCGTTGGTAATAATAATGCTCTTAATATATCACACAATGATACTTGTAAATACTTGAAGCTGTTTTAATAGTTTTGTTTTGATAATACGGTGGCCACAAATGCATGAGAAACTTCTTCAAATGAAGGGAAATTAATCAGATAAACATTTCAACTGATTCAGCAAGATTGTCTATACCGGTACTATCCTGAAAATCAAATTGAGCCTCGGAGGTAGACAATGAAGACCCCACTTGATGCAAGTGATTGTTACCATGGAAACGTCCCTTTTCATTTTCACATCCTGGTTTCAATCTTATTGGCTGAGACAACACACCGCTGTCAAGATAGAAAGCCAGGTATTTCTATCCAAAGTAACGTAATTCATACTGGAATTCATGCAGCACTGCACTCATTCATTTCCACCACAAACATACATTATTTGCCTTGAAGTCAGTCAATTCATTTTTCAAAGAACACATCTTTTTTCCTACTTGTTTCTACATGTAGGTCTAATCCCCTTTACTTTTGTTGTGTGTGTTAAAATTTCAGTGCAACTTTCTCTGCAATTGTTAAAGTCAATAAATTCTACTCTAAATTTGATGTGGAGATATACCCATGAAAAATTACTGCATGTCAAATTTAGCAAAGATAGCAAACAACTATCAAAAACCCAAAGGTCTGTATACTACTAATCAGTTGAACTTGACTCTTAGTTGAATTAAATAAAAGAAAAACTTAGACCACGGACTAATTCCTTTGTCAAATGCCATTTTGAACAAAAGCTTAAACAGCAGAATACAGGCCCAAATGTATCACCTGTAAAAATCATACTGTTCATAAACTTGGTGGCATGAAAGAAATTCATTCAATTACCAAAAGAGATGGACTATATATGTAACTTGTAGAGGTGTCATGGTTGAGTGGATACGTCACCGCCAGACTGTCGATCACAAGGTCGGCGGTTCAAGACCCACCGCGGCACTAATTTCCTTTGGCAAGACATTGATCTACCTTTGCCACACTCCACCCAGGTGAAGCAAATGGGAACCTGGTAGGAATTATTCCTTGAAACGCAGAGCGTGTGACAGCTGCACTGCCAAATCCAGGGTATTTATGCAGCATTATTGAAGAGCGCTTTATAGAGACTTCTGATAAAGTAAGTGTTAGGCGCTATATAAGAAAATATAAATATTATGAACTTACAGTGCGTAACTCCAGCTAATGTCTGGTAGAAGGTCGGCGTGTCACTCTCATCCGATAGTCTCAGACCTTGTTTGGCACTGTCCTGTAGTAACCATGCCGAAAGCTTCATCACATCACTGTTCTTCATCAACCAGCTACAGAATTGTTCATAGGAGACCCGATCAGACTATGAGATAAATCAGATCAAAATCAAACAAATTACATATCTGTTATTGTAAGTTGCCGAATCGCTTAATATAGGAGATCACATCAGACTATGACATAAATCAAATCAAAATCAAATCAAATTACATGTTTATCTGTTATTATAAATTACAGAATTGCTTAAATAGGAGACCTGATTAGACGGTTTGAGATTAATCATATCAAAATCATGTACCGCGGTATATCTGTTATTTTATGTTGCAGAACTGCTTATACATGTAAGAGACCACATCAATCTAAATCAGACTACAGTGTTATGATAAATCAAATTAAATGAAATCAAATCAGTTGTTATGATTTTCGAATCACAGAATTGCTTTCGTAGGAGACCACATCAGACTATGAGATAACTCCAAGCCAATTATGTAAATGAATCTGAGTCTGAATTGAAGTATTACATACATGTAAGTCTGATGCTGGAAGGCAAAATTTGATATTAGCTATTCTCATGAATAATGATCTTGCAGTTATTGTGAGACAGATTTTCTATCGAGATGAGTGTAGAGATTGTCGCTACCAAAGAGCAAAATGTAATCTGACTTTCACAGTTTAAAGGAGAAGTCCACCCTGATATCAAGTTGGTTTTAAAAGAAGCAGAAAAATGGGAGAAACAGGTCAGTGAAAGTTTGAGCAAAAACCTATTAAAAATAAGAAAGCTATGACTTTTTGATGGTGCGATCAATCAAACACGCAAGTTGGCAAATCTGTGACATATCTTATGAACCCTAATAAAAAACTTATTTTCCCTTTAAAAAAAAATTAAATCATACATTCACCCTAAATATAATTATTGCACATATACATTTATGTTTATACTGCACAAATGCTATAAGAAGAAAAAAAATATTCTATGCATCTTACAGGGCTTTATGATATTAACAAAGTCCAAGAGCAGTTACTGTTTTTCTGTAAGAGTATCAGAACACCCCCAGATTTTAATACTTAACAACTTTTCCATGAAAAAATAACACAGGACACTCTTACTGTTTGATTACATTTCAGAATATAAAGGCATGCACTTGCAAATGAATCATTGAAAAGACCTACAGTACATGAACACTTTATCAAGTGAGAACCAGAAGGACATTATCGCATATCTGATTCATTTAATGTCCTTCTGGCTATCAACAGACAGTATCATCCTGTACATAGTACCGTAAATCTCTATGTATAAGGCACACCTGTGTATAAGGCGTACCCCTATTTTTATTTTATTTTTTTTTGGGGGGGGGGGGAAGGAGAAGAAAAAAAAATTGGTTTTATTTTTTGTTTTGTTGTTGTTGTTGTTTTGTTGCCGAAAACCCACGCGGGGAAGGACCTTCATTTAACATTGAGGTGCAGTTGAAGGCGCTGATTTGTGCTTGTAAACTTGTCACAAATAACTATATAGTTTTTAGAAGAATTTGTAAGATCATTAATGTAAATTAAAAACAATAGAGTACCTACATGTACATGTAGGATAGAACCTTGTGGTACACCACTTGTTATAGAAAAAAAATTGAGGAATTATTATTATAAACTACATGTTAAGATCTATCAGAAAGATTACTTTCAAACCAAGATGACAGACAAATTTGAGTGTTGTTGTAGTTTCCGAGTGGTGAGTCAACACACTGATTACTGAGCTGGGAGACATTGCCAGGCATAGCGCCATAAATCGAAACTATACAAAAAATATTTAAAAAAATAAAAAATTATGTACCTATGTATAAGACGCACCCCCGACTTTCATTTTTTTCCGGCGGCAAAAAAGTGCGCCTTATACATGGAGATTTACGGCATACACCTGTATGCACACTTGCCAACCTTCCCAGCCAAAAGCTTAGGATTCTCAGAGGATAAGGATTATAGTGCATTTTGCATGCTTTTCATGTGTTCAGAAAACAAGAGGAATAATTGGTTCATAACGATAGTTTGTAGGTAGAAATATAGGAATCATTCCTCCAAAATAGGAACAGTTGGCAACTATCCTGCATGGACATGTAAACAAACATCACTGAGAGAAAGAGCTCCACCACGCATGGGAATCGACTGAAGACGATGACTAATCGTGAGTGGTCCGCAACGAACTTGCGACACTTCCCAAAGGTCATCTCCATCAAAACACACACACATTGCTAGCAGGTAGCTAGCAAGAAGATTCAACGGCCTCAATCAGAAACCATGAGCAATGAATAGTAATTGGAAACAGGTTGTAGGTATAGGCAATCGGGTCTTCATATTGTGGTTATGCTCTGTGGGTGCTAAAGGATGCGTGGGTAGAGGATGTACATCTTCAGAAGTACGCTTTACATTTTTCATGAAGTTTTGATTTTCAAAAAAATAATAAATGTAAAAATTGTTCCAGTCTGTACATCTTACAACATTGTAAAGTGTGACACTGTACTATATATATTTAGAGGGTACAATTACTATATCTTCTAGTAGAAAATTGCTTCTTTTGAATACGAAGTCCCCCCCCCCCCCTGTGACCCTGATATTAATTTGATTTTCATAGAAAAATGTGAGAAAGAGCCAATAGGTCAGTAAACGTTTGTGCAAAAACTGATAAGAAATAGGAAAACTTAATTATTTTTGAAGATGAAGTCAATCAAACGCAAATTGGCAACTCTGTGACGTATAGTGAGAGGTACCCTCCCATTTGCCCTGTACTAAAAAACATTTAAAAAAATATTTATTCCCTTCAGGAAATATTCATTCTAACAATCACCATAAATATAAATATTTCAAATATGTTTTTATACTAAGGGCCCCTGTTTGAAAAAAATCTATTCCGTCATCAATAACTAAGAAAATGAAAATTTTCTGGACAAAGTAAATTGGAGAGGAGCTCACAAGATACGTCACGGTGTTGCCAATTTGTGTTTCACTGATGACAACTTCAAAACTGTATAACTCTCCTACTTTTAATCGGATATTGCTCAAACTTCCACTAATTGTACTTCTCATTTTTCTGCTTTAATTAAAACCAACTTAATCGCTTGTTTTTTATTGTCTGTCATGTTTTTTTTATTCCGTAATTTTTTCAAAATTAAGTTATAAATGTATAAAATGTAATTATTATTGTGCGAATCTACATCTAACAAGCTTTGCTTTCAAGTAGGATATTTTTTTTTCATTTCCTGTAATTAAATCATTTTGCATTACAATGACCAAAAAACAATGTCAAAGATATTTCAGTGCTCATTTCTGTTATATCATTACGTTTAATATTGTCTGTTATTGTTTATATTATGTGAAAAGAAATGAAAAATAAATTTGCTCTGTATAGAGCTACTACTGCTACTACTAATAGCAGGGTAGACTTCCCCTTTAAAGATACCACCTTCTTTCATAGATTACTTATGAATAAGAGTAAGAAATTCTGTTTGACACATGCACAGTTACAGGTATACAGGTACACATGTTCATGTTAGTTTGTAAATTATACTTAGCATTTACTGCTTTCTTGCAGGCAGCCAATAATGTACTTAATTTATAGGCCTATATGTCCATGTCCATGTACACTTGTACAGTACATTGTACATGTAGGTCCTCCTTGCATACATGTACATGTAGTCAACTTAGATGCAGATCGAGAATTTGGTTTAATTTGTAAAAGGTTTGTGCTTAATATCACCAACCACAGCAAAGTAGGAAAGGATGGGAGGAAAGTGTATCACTTTTATCGGTTGCACATATCGCTTGAGTTAGACGCTGGAAGCTTATTGATGGATCTATTGTACCTGGGTGATGTATGTAAGGCACATTAGGCTCCGTTTCGACTCAAAAACACATCAATATTACTTGTCATATTTCCTCTTCACATGTAAATAATACAATACTTTGGCATATGTGCAGGCGCATGAATTCCAATAGATTGTACATATAAAGGTAGATATATGCATGCATGCATACATATATAGTTTGGAAGCACGAACCCTAGTCGGTCGTTGTGCATAAACATTAAACCATGTAACAATGTCTGCACTAGTTATGAGACTACAGTAGGCTATGTACTTCAGCCACTCTTGACACAGCCAAAGACTGACAGATCTAGCCTCTGCCCAAAGCTTTTAGGAATTGTAAAGTGTCAAATCAGAGTACATGTATGTGCTTGCAGACTACTAGGTCTGTTTTCTTCATGTCATCTTTTATGACAAATTATGAAATATGAACAAATTCCTTTCTTATTGCTAACTTTTTCATTTTTTGAATCTTTTGAAAGACATTAATGTAATACATCAATTATATGGATGGTTATTGTGTAGTTTCAAAGAGGATCACTTATTCACTCTTTTTAGTTTGAGCAGTTTCAGTAGTTACCATGGATACAATCAGTATGCAATTCCATTTTTTTTTAAAGAAGGTTTTCTGTAACATCTCTAGGTATAGATTATACACTTTAGTGCTTCATGTACACTGTAATTACTAATGATTACAAAAAGAAAAACTGTCAACTGACATGTACATTTATAATTTATGACATTAGACACAAACATTACTACACCAATCAATCACAATGGAAAATTTGGTATTGCGTGTCTCTATTAATAACCATTAAAATATTACTGTTCAAAGTTCAGGCTCACAGAGGCACATCAGCAAATCAACTCATAATCATTAAACAAAATAGTCTACAAGAGCAGACCCAGGTATTGCACATTGACATCTCAGAGACACACACACAAAATGATGTATTGAGCTATTAAAGCCTACATGTATGCACAAATTACACTGGACTGAATGCAGAAATTTGGTTGCCTGGATGGCCTATTATAATGCTTGAAAATTACAGGCAAGTCCAAGCTATTCTCCCCTTTGGTGTCGAATATTCAAACCATTACAATACAGCAAAATGTACACGTACATGTCATTAAAAAGCTAAAACCTTGAATTTTATGATCCTTTTATCAGCTATAGAAACAAATGTATAATGGTGAAATTCTAACTTCCAAGGTAATTATTCTATACAAATATGTAATTAGCGTATCGAGCCATTAAAAACTACATACATGCACAAATTACACTGGACTGAATGCAGAAATTTGGTTGCCCGGATGGACGTGACGTACAGAATATTTTTTCCTAGTGTGACTTAGGGCGCGTTCATGCTTGATTTTGACGGCCAGAATCAGGCATCTGTTACGCGTTTAGTTTAAAACACGGTTGCGTCTTAGCTCACTTTTGTAGAATCACCGAAAAACGGCGATCACGATCGCCGATCGTAAACTCACAAAAAGATGCGTTTACAATTTGTAAACGCGTTTAAATGGGGTCAACGCACTGACCTCTAGTAGGTCTACGTAGCATGCACAGTGAAGGTTTGCGAATCCAGCTGGAAGACCAATTAAGGCCACACACGTAGAATTGCCTTGGGAGCCAGAGAAGTAAGCATGAACACTACATCGTGGAACTGCGATCACGATGAGCGTTTACGATGAGCGTTTCAGATCGCTCATTCTGCCTTCAAAATTTAAGCATGAACGCAGCCTTATTCAAATCAACTTCAGCAATGTCTGTATGTCCAAATTCTGATGTAGGTTTATTACATTCCACAGTAGTAGTACCCAGGGAACAAAATACACAGGAGCTCCCGAAAAAAGAGCCCCCGAAAGTCGTAAAAGAGCCCCCAAAAATGTGCTTAGTGTTAATGCAAAACAAATTAAAGAGTGTTATTTTCATGCATGCAAGCTTGAAAAGTAGCCCCTGAAATGTTTTAAATATTTTTTCCCCTGGTTGTACCCAACAAAATATCATGATAAAGTAATCCAGTTATTATACAACTGTACAGTGTAATTACATATAATCAAATCAAATAATGTGACGTACAGGACAATGTGTGACGTACGGGACAATGTGTGACGTACGGGACAATGTGTGACATATGGGACAATGTGTGACGTATGGAACAAATCAAAATAGGACTGCACAATTTTTTAATGCACAATGTAGTAAAAAATTGCGAGGTCATCGCTTATGATTGAAAATATACCATACAATGGCTGATTATAATGTGAAAGAAACTAGTACAGTACATGTAGCTCAGAAATATACCGGTAGTACAGGTTTTTACCATCACAATGCCCAAAAGATATTCCAGGGATGAAATGATGAAATATTTCCGAGTTTTAAAGATTATCAATCAATCTTAGTATGTGATTGTTCAAGGTGAATTACAAACCAGTTTCTTCAATTTCGTTCTCCAATACAAGGCCAAAAGTGTTAATCATGTTTGCAAACACAAAGTTCTGCAATATTCAGCCATGTGCTACAAATTACCATTAATTACCAGTGTAGACTATGCAAAATGACTCGCAATTATTATCATCGATATTTTTTTAACAGGTCTGTGAGCTTACAGCAGTCCAGAGTGTAAGGTGAAAAGAAAATGGGGCAACGTGTGTCGTGTTTGCATTTTGACAGCTCCCTGTGGTCAGGAGCATTGGCAGGGGAGGAAATACAGGCATATCCTGGCAAGTTCAGGGACAACCTGATAATCGTTTAGTGTCTTTATCTCATCAAAGCGCGGTCTACGATGAAACACTAATCCCCCATTTAGACTGCCAAAAAGAATTGCTTGTATATTTGAAAGCTGTATAGTTATAAGACAATACGATTTTCATTTCTAGTGTGAATGTGTGAATGATGTTTGAGCATCATCTTGGAATGAAGTGCTGATTCAATTCATGGCCCCGTTCTCATCTGAATGTCGGAAATTAAATGTATAACTATTATTAAGCAGCGTAAGCCTCGGTCACAAATGCCCTTACGAACGCTGTACGAATGATTTTCAGACAATGGAAATTCGGGAAAACAATGGAAAAACAGGGAGATTCGTACGAAATTATTGTTCGTACGAACCTTTGTGACCGTAGCATTAGGCTCATTATACTGGCCAGCTGTCATGTCAACGGACCTCTTAAAAACTAGCTTCTTTATACGTTTCTCAATACGATACTTTATCCGGTGTGAACGCCCCTAATGCAATACAATGATACTTTATAGCATTTCTTTTTACATGTACATGTTTTGTATCAATTTTCTCTAGTGTGAACGGGTTATAAGCCATAAATCTGGCATGTCAGACAGGTATATGAGATCATAACAAACCTGTCCTAATCCCCTGTCATAAACACCCCAATCAAGGCTACATGTACTCTAACCACACTCTATTCATGGCTCATCATTCTTACAGCCAAACCGTCTTGCTGCATTACAAAGTGTCCTCTCCACTTCAGATATGCTTTAGTTTTTTCCTTTCTTTATTGGATTTTTGTCAGGTAAAGTGAGGTTTTCATGAGGTGAGGTGATATTCTAAGCTTGTCATTTTTACCAGAGCTCTATCAGATCACCCCCCCCCCCCTGATATTTTTGTTTCGTTTCTACTCCCGGCCCCCCCACTCAGAGGTCGGAATGACCGCATGCGTGTTGCCAAAATGTCCGGTAAAGGGGTACTTTTCGTGCGACAAAGTCCGGCCCGAGAATTGTAAAAAAAGGGGTGTATTTGACTTTTCACCCGGAGATTTCTTTAAAAAGGGGGTGTTTTTCTTTTTTTCTCTCATCTCTTTGGACTCCTGAGAAATTATTCCGAATTTAGAGGGGTACATTGAGCATTTTTCCTGATTTAGGGGGGTCTCCAAGGCAGGAAAAGCATGTGAAAAGCCCGCGAAAGGGGGGTTCGGAAATGTTGGCAGTCCTCAGATAGGGGGTGCTTTCAGAAGAAGGGTACGAGCATATGCGTACCCTAAATAACACTGAGTGGGGGGGCCGGGTTTCTACTCTGTCCATTACATTATGATTTGATTTGTTTCATTTTATTATTTCACTATTTATTTTTTACTTTTTTACTTTTTGTTTGCTGTAATGGAGGAAAGTGACATTTTCACTAGGGATTTCACAGAGAATTCACAAGTCCTTCTTCAAGAACTTATGTTCACTTTTCTCTAGGAAAAGTATATAGAAGAATGCCACTGTTTACTTTCCACACATCTTTCCTTTCATACCATACCATTAATCTTACATAAAACAAAATAGGTGGAGTTATTACAGAAATAGATGCTGAGCATGTACAGACTTGACAGTTCTACTTGTACACACACTAGCCGTATTCAGTGAATTTATATTTTACAAAGTCATCAAGAATATTTGAGAGTAATTGTTGATAAAGGGCCTATATGTGTTTGTAATTCATACTTACGGAGGAATTTAGAGAGTCTAAGGAGAAGAACCATAACTTATGCTAATCCAATACCTTTGACGAAAAAGAGCACTGGTGAAATGTTGCCTGAGCAAATGTCGGTTTACCAGGGGAATCACCTCATCCCCCATTTCTTATAATGCTGTGACACTTGTTCCATTTACCAAGTATATTAATCAAATTTCTACTTCAACCTTGGACTAAACACTAAACCTACCCCTAAACTCTGACCTTACTGTACCTACCCTAAAACCTAAATGCAAACCTAGTCCTATATCTACGATGAAATAAGGCATGGGCAATATATTGGTTTACTGACATATTCAAATTTATGGAGTTTCTTTCCTGGGGACCTAGTGATGAGTTATTCAATTGAACTGTTATTAATCAATGAACTACAGTACTTGGAATCCAGTCTGCAAACATTACTTGTTGCTATGTCGAGTAAGCTTTAGGGCAAGCTTGTGGTTGTCAAGAACAACCTATATTTAAAAAGTTTACTTAAAACTTGAATATGTTAGTACAAAAACTGGCCTATTGTCGCTGGAGTATACCGTCTGTGTAGATTAGCTACTGTAAGGCATTAATTTACCATGTCTAGGAGAATTCCAAATTTTGTTTTTCGGTTTATTGTTTTTTTCTTTCTTATGTCTGTTACATGTCCTTTTCTCTAAGCGCCATGAGCACCGAAAGGTGGACCTGTGCGCTATACAAGTAGCCACTATTATTATTATTATCTCATATCATTTTACACTGAGATAAAGCCCTTCCAGACAAAACGTCAGATTATCACGTGGCAAATTACCTAATATCCCCCATTTCTTTCACTATTTAGTCCTTACCTCTCTGAATAATTGCACAGTGTCTGCAGCTGGGGCGTTACCATCGCAGGCGGCGATGAAGTTGTTGAGATCCATCCTCGTAACGTACGTGCCATTCTCCTGGTTCGCACACATTCCAAATATAACTGGAAGAAAAAGGAGATAAAATGGAATCACAAATTAGTTCTAAATTATTGACTCAGAAATCTGTCAAGTGAAAATAGGTCAGGTAAATTAATTATGAGAAAGATTGGCTCTATTTCTTACTCTACAATCTTTTGTTTTCATTCTTACATTCTTCATTTCTCCTCCATCTTTTCCATCTTTATGTCATATTTTTCCTCTATTATGGTTACATCCTCCTTCCTCATGAAAGATGTGACATAAATGCTTTGGTAAAGAAAGCTGAACCACTGGGTACAATGCATATCATCTGTTCAGAGCCAGAAGGGCGTTATATCTATGTTACAGCATATAAGTTAATACCCTTCTGACCCAAAGCAGGCACTTAACACACTTGTACACACTCTATACATGTCATTTTATACCCTAGCACATGACATCAGGTGTGATGTATTAATCAAAATTCTCTGGATCCATCTTACTTCTTGTTGCTTCTCATCCCTTTTTGTGTTCAATATTAAAACGCACATTTCTTCTTCTAAATTTCACTTCCTTTGCTTCGGTCAGAATGATTGTGTTAACACTCAACAACAACAAAAAAGTACATGCACATACAATTACTTCACAAGTTCACATGATATAATTGCCAAAAGAAAACAAACTACTAGTACTAGAAATAAGTGAAAATAGGAAGAAATTCCTTGAACGCTTGAGCACCTTTCCATGGTACATGTAGCTTGCTAAAGCTGGAGTAATAGGTAATATAATTGCAGGTCCCTCTGGAAGAACATAGCTAGGGCTACCCTGTGAGACAAGAAATATTATCATTATAATTATCATTATTTAATAATTATCTTTAAATTGAACTTCCCCAGTTCCCTTCTTATACAGGTATTTTTCTCATTAAAGTCATGAGATTGTTCCCTGGACCTCTATTTGAAAATCACATAGAGGAAAATGAGATTGAATAAATTACAAATATTTCTTTTCAAGCCTTCATGAGCTAGATCACTCTCTGTCCTCCTTGTGTGTATTATTTCTTCCTCTGCCTTTCTTCTGAATTATCAGGGTCTCAGGGAAGCATGGAATTTCTGTATCTAACTTGGTCAGTATTGATTCTTTCCCCGATCTCATGTTCTTAGTCCCAATGATTGATGACAGTGTTGGTTGAACTCCATTCATCAATTCATCAGGCACCTAATGTACTCCATGGAAACTACTGGCAGAGATTTGGTGATGACAATGACATTTTGCTCTTATCCTCCAATCCATTCAGTACCAGTGAAAATGACAATGTACAAACCTACACCCATTCAGACCACCAAAATTCATTGAACAGCTATAATATGAAGATATACAGGTGTAGTTGAGCAGTAAGTACTGATTTTTTTTCTAGTGTGAATGCTGTTTTGGGACGAAAACGTCGTACAGTGAAACAGATGTTTTGAGTATTGTTTGATTTGTTTCAAACAAAAATTAAAAACTTGGTAAAGAATTCGTCGCTGTTTTCACGAAGTGACGGTAGTGAACAAAAATTGCATTCACTTTGCGTTACGGTTTTCCTCAATACCGTCACTTCGTGAAAACAAGGACGAATTAGGGCCTGTTCTCCTGTGTGAATGTTGTATCCTATGAAAACCATATAGTGTGCAGGTATATAATTAAACTGGCAAGGTCTTATCATGAGTGGGCATCGATGATTGGCCAGCTGGCGAATCGATTGACCTCTTTAAAACTAGTTTATTTATACAATGTTGTCACCCAGTGTGAATGCCCCTTTCACTATACATTGAAACTTTAATACATTTCTTTATAAAACTTCCATGAATTTTCTATGGTCTGAACAAGCTTTTTAATACGGTCTATTCTGAGAAGCATTGATTTTTCAATATGCCCGACCGCTTGAGTGCCATATCGCATTTATTGGATTTAGCAATGGTCATGACAAGGAACTTTTAAAGGTGGCATGAAATTCTGGAAATGTTCAAAATTTTACCAGAAAAAATTCAAACTGTAATTTTTTAAAGAAAGGAATACATGGACAGGAATGAGCTTATTTAGCTGGTTCCATGGAAGCATTGCTTGTTTTGCTTCGATAATTTTTTGCAATATTTACTGCAACATTGCTTCTAGAAATGATAATGTCAGTCAATGACTGTTTAAAGGAAATATGACAACCACAACAAAATCCCTGATTTAGATTTACACGTTATTAACTTGCAAAACACAAAACGTAGCACTTGCTCATATGGTTGAATCTTAAAGGTCGAAAAATATCTGAAGAATTTTCTCTCGCGCTCTCTCTCTCTCTCTCTCTCTCTGTATGTATACAGTCAAGTAAACCAATCCATCTCTCTTTACATACATGTATATTCCTCTACGCCATTCCTCATCAAAGCATTCGCATCACCTAAGAACTATCGATTGGGTTTTTCCAATGCGGCTGAGCCAACCACGTTATTGGAAAAGTGGTGATCATTAATCTATTAAACTCTGAACAACCAGTGCAACATCTCTTAATGATTTAATCTTTTATTCAAATACAGTCCTAAAAGAAATGCAAAGTACAAGTATGCCAAGTCACTGTCATACATCTAGAAAAAATATGGTCTGCAGTCTGCGCTGTCTACAGTACACTGTATGTGTCAAGTACATGTATATGTGGAAAATAGCTTATCTGTATGCTTTTTAGATCTCAAAATTATTTTGATCCGCTGTACAAAAATTCTAATTCTATATTTTTCACTGGATGTAAAATCAATACGTAATCAATACATAGTCAATATTGACGAGAATGTTCTAGATTTCAATATCACTGGCGGAGTCTCTGCATGCCCTATATTACCAGTGCTCAAAACCTGAGATCTATCTCTCTCCTTGTCCGTCGTGCCAGCACGTATTATTAGCTTTTTGATCCTGTCATTACATCAATAGCGACTTGTCAACAAACGACCAGCTGAGGGCAACACCAACTTCAATTTTCACCAGCCAACAATATCGGGAGGGAGAGTGAGCGAGCGGTGCGACAATAACGATCGGGCTTGCTTCATCCCTCACTATTCCAGCGTTGTTGGTTTATTGTGAACCCCCATGCCTGGGAGGGAGCTAGTTAATTTGGTGAAGACCTCCTGCGACCTGAAAAATTTGTTTTCACGCGTCTATTATCCCCCCCCCCCCCTCTCCTTTTAGACTTTGTGCATTTGGGAATAATCATTGCCAAAGTGATGGAGGTGCTTTATGAACACCTTTTGTTTCCCTTCTTGAAAAAATATCTCCACCTGTGTATCATAATGTGTACACATGTAATTGTAGACATAAATGGATGATTAAATAACTTTCATGAACATGTAGCCAGCATTCGTCTTGATAGGTTTTTACAGTTTTGTATCCTTTTTTAAAATCTGTCCATGCGCAGATTGTATCTCAGAAGTGGCTTACAGTCAAATGCAACTGGTCATATCGCTAGATGAAAATCTTCAGCTACATGTACAGTATATTGATATCTTATCAATTCCTGGTCTGAATAATGTGAAAAGTAACAATAACAAAATGTCATGCAGCAAAACGCACATTTGAGCATCATTTTGAACGGAATTTCAATAAAGAATCAGGGTCCTGTTGTACTCTGATCATACATGTAGTATACAGTAGTACGAAAACTGGGAAGGGATTATATTGTGCATGCGCAATGATGATTGGCCAGTTACCTGATAAACAAAGTTGTTAATCTAGTACATGTTAGCCAGTGTCGCTGTAAGATGATTCTGCATGTATCCAACGTTTCTTTACATTTCTTTTTGTATGAATTTCCTCTGAAATCTTCTAAACACGCCATCAGTTCTATTTCAAAAGGCTTGGATACGATTACTGTATGATGCTAGGATACATGTACATGTAATAATGATAATAATATTTAATTTTTATATAGCACTTAATACAAATGTCTCTAAGCGCTCTACAAATATACTATTACCCCGGTCATTGGATTCAGTGCTTGCCCGCACACAATGTGTATACTGGAGGGGGTTTTATCACTGACATACTGTCATCATACACCTGCTAAATTCTTAGCACTTGTTTGCATGTGTTGTGTTGTTGCGTTCATACTGAAGTGTCGTCTCGGGACGAAAATAACTTCCTCCTCAGCATCACTTATCACACACAGACAAAGGCATTAGTGCACACTAAACTGAACAAAAGGGACTTTTAGATTTGCACGACGAGAACGTGGACTGCGACGTGTGACAGCTTTTAAGGCAATGTAATGTCCTTTTAAGGCACTGGCAGTGACGTCACATTGCCTTAAAAGGGTGTCACACGAGCAGTCCACGTTCTCGTTGTGCAAATCTAAAAGTCCCTATTGATAAAATATATTTTTTCTTCTGACGATATCACCTCAATTCACCTCATGTAACGTTTATCTGGATGCAAGTAACTTCCTCCTTTGTAGCACTTGTAATACACACAGGCAGTGGCATCAGTTCACATCGGAACTCCTGATCATTAATTAACATTTGCTTTGTTTTTTCCTTTTACGTGTAGATGATTTCATTAAATTCACATCACACACCATTTCAATGTACCACCTGCACCAGAAGTTTTGCTTCATGGCACATTGAAACGAGGCTAGTCCAGAGCCAGAAGGGCATTACATGTACATGTATTAAATGTAACTCTGTTTTATATTAAACAATGGACGCATTGACTCTTAAATTCTCGCATTCCTTTATAGGCTTTATACAGGGACAACCAGGTTTTCGTAGGCAAGGGATTAATACCCTTCTGACTCTGTACATGTACAGTATTGGCAAATTGTAAAATTGAACAACTGTACGGTCTGTACCTATTAACTTTTGAAGTTGGTTTATGTTTATAGGCTACATGTACATGTACATGTATACATGTATATGGACTCCACACTAAAGTTTTTGGAAGGGGAACTGGATTAAAATTAGTGATGTAGTCAAACGTTTAACTGTCCGGTATCCGACCGTCCATGGCACTATCCGTTTTCAATTGGAGC